TGGAGAGATACACTAGAAAGAGCCCGATGGATGAGTATTCTTGAATATGAAGCACAGGGCTGAAGGCAGCACGCTGGGTCAAAGAAGAGTTAAAAAGGTAGGTGGTGGCAGTAGAGGAGGAAAGGTGACCCTGGTATTCATATGCAGGACACCAAGAGAAAACAGCCAGTTCTGACCTCTAGAAGCAGCTCCTGCCTGGCAGCCTGGTGCCCTGCTCCAAGCACCAGGCACAAAGGACAGACGCACTCACGATCCAATTTGTTACACTTGCACCTTCCAGGGAGAGAGGGAGGTGAAATAAAAAAAGAGAAAAAAATCCCATTATCTTTATCTGTCCTTCCCATCAGGTGCAGCGGAAAATGCAAACGGGGGAGACAGCTGCTGTGAACTCTTTATATTTCACTCAGAAGATAGTGTATCTTTTTATTGCATACAGGAATTACTTATTTGAAAAAATATATCCTTTCAGTGTGACCTGAGCAGCAAGACAGAGAGGGGGTTCTCTGTGGAGAGGCGGAGTTCCGGGCTATTGATAGAGCATTTGCATTAAACTGGAGGAATCTCTGGAGGTCCTGGCAGTAGCAGAGGGAGACAAGAGGCCGGGAGACTGCCTGTGAAGGGAATGGGAGTTCTCTCCACCTCCCCGCAGTGTGACCTGGCCTGGCACGGTGCCTTGCAGCTGCACATTCTCCTTCTGAGCAAGAACGGAGAGTGGCACCCGTGATTTCCTCTGGGGAGTGAAAGGAGGACACAGAAAGAGTCCCTCAGCTCAGACAGAACACGGTCTGCCTTTGCTGCTATGCTCAGAAATGACAAACATCAAGTCTTATTGGTACCTCAATGTCTGGCACGAAGTTTGCCACGAGGGTGGGGGCTCTTAGGATATGCTTGTTGGAGATGCCAGCAATGCAAAGAGGTACCTAGCCTGCCCAGATACCTGCAGGTGAAGAGGGACAGAAACCCTGTGGGGATAGCACATTTGTTCAGCGTGGTGCCCCTGGGCACTGTGCTGTGAGAACGCCAGCCTTGCTCACCCTGTGCCTGTGAACACCTTTCCTACCCCAGATTCCAGCCAAGACAGGCTCTGTGACCTTCACTGTGGGTCCTGCGATGGTGACTTATGTGTCAACCTGGCTGGGCAGAGTGCCCAAATATTTGGTCGAACATTATTCTTGATTACCCCTGAGGGTGCCTGTATATAAGATCACCATATAAATCAGCAGAATTCAAGTAAAGCAGACTATTCTCCGTAACATGGGTGGGTCTCAAGTCAGGTGACTTCTTGCATAGAACAAAAGACGGATCACCCTGAGCAGGAGGGAATTCTGCCAGCAGAGCCTTCTGCTCTTCCTTGCATGTCCAGTCTGCCAGGTTGCCCTGCAGATTTTGGACTTGACATCCTCCATAATTATACGGTCCAATTCTTAAATATTCTTTAAAAGCAATTCCTCCCTTCCTCTCTCTCTCTCTACATGTATGTGTATGTATATGTGTATACAAAAGCTCAATTTAGGATGGAGTTATAGGCTGATAAACCCATTGTAAATTTACAATATAAGATTTCTTAGCTAAACTATGGATCATCACAGCTTAGCCTAACATACCACAAACATCCTCAGAACACGTATGGTAGCCAACAGTTGGGCAAAATCTTCTGACACAAAGCCTATTTTGTAGTAAAACACTATCTCATGTAATTTATTGAATACTGTATGGAAAGCAAGACAGAATAGTTGTATGGGTACACTTTCCTACCATCGTAAAGTTAAAACATAGTAAATCCATCCATGAAGTTGGGGACTGTGATATGTACGCATCTTCCTGGTTCTGTTTGCCTGCAGAGCCCTCATGGTCCCTCCTTGTCTGGAAAAGGCTGGTTAGGGGCGAAGGCAGGGATGGGTGAGCTCTGACCCAGGAGTATAAATGCAGTACTAGGAAGGAGAAAAAATAAAAAGGAAGGAGGAGGTACCCTGACCTTTGACAGGAGAGGTCAAAGCCAGGCCAGGCAGGCAGGGGGCTGGGACTTGATTTCCTTGGGACAAAGACAGGGGTAGCTTAGCATGTCTGCTTCCTTCTGAGCTGATCTGACACAGGTCACCCTGTCTTTGAAGGGTCTGGACCCCTGGAAAGGTGTGGCAGCCTCTGCCCAAGGCCCTCCCTCAGCTGTGGGAAGAGGAGGCACAATGGGGAGATGCTATGTGTGGCGCTGGGCTGTCTTGCCTCTGCCCAGTGCCTGGGTGGGTGGGTCTTCTCTGTGCCTGCGTGCCTGGTTGCCTGCGGTGTACACTAATTTGTGGTAATAATCACACCTTCCTTTGTAAGTTGCTTTCCGGCCTTCGAAGCACTTTCACCTACAGGGTAGGAATAGCTCCCCTTGCCCTACTCCCAGGGAGAGGCAGAGGCAGAAGTGCGTGGAAGGGGCAGTGCATTCTCTGTGGGGGCTTTGTTTTCCTTATTGTGCAAACTGGCTTAGGCAGAAGGAAGTCCAAGGTTTGAGGGGCAGGTCCCAACTTTGGCTTTTGTAGCAATAGGCAGGAAACTTGTGAGAAGAGGCCCCTCGAGAGTGGAGCCTGAAGTCCTTCCACTGTGGGGCTCAAATTGCTGAGACCCGTCCTCTTTGGCTTCTCCCCTTCACTGGAGCCCACCGTGCGGGTGGCCCAGGAGCATGTGTAGTGGGAGAGGGAGCCTCGCTGTGTTCCTAGGAACCTAGAGCATGAGCTGCTGGATGAGTGTGGTATCCGTGGAGATGGCCCCCTAGATGGCCGCCACTATGGCTGCAGGGTGAGGTGCATCTTCCTATCAAAACCTCACTTTGCTGGGTTTTCACCCCCAGATCAATGAAGGAAGCAATTTTCTAAGCTAATAAGTAGCTCCTCCCTTCCCATTATCAATCAAGGGGTTCCCAGGATGGGGAGGACTGGTCCTGAGCAGCAGCCAGCAGACATGATATGGTCTCTCTTCAGGAGACCCACAGGCATAGAAAAGCTTCTCCCTGAGTTTGCTTCCAGAGGATGAACCCTCTTAGTTCTGGATTGAGGTGATGTTGAAGAATGCTGCCCCCAGCCCTTCCTGAGCTCCATCAAGTGTGTAAGTTCCCACAGCTGTTCACCACCCTTGAATGGAAGAGATGAGCATCCTGAGTGACCACTGAGCTTGATTCTGTAACAGGAGGCTCACAGAACCACCCACTACTTGCCTCATTAGAAGTGATCTCATTTTAAGTACAGAGTACCCCTTTCCACATGCCTGCACACTCAGGGGCTCTTTCCTCGTACCAGCATGACCTCTGCAAACTCACTGTCACATGTAGATCCTTGGCTTTCTAACAGTTCTTTTTCCTAGCCCTCGTCAGGAGAGGTCTCCCACCCACTTTGCAGATAAGAACACTGAGGAGCTGAGTGTGCTCTGGCCCTGGGTCCCACAAAGGAAGCAAATAGAAGGAATGTGGATGCCACCTGGTTAATCTACTCAGCTCTTCCTGGACAACCTGCTAGGGGGTACCTTGTGAATCCTCTGGGGAAAGGAACGCAGAACTTTCCAGTAACTTCCCCTTACCTTGTTAGCCTGTGAGATCTTTACAGCAGAAGGAGTGAGTCAAGTGCATGCACACACACAGGTCCACCCAATGCCTGCACCAATGGACACGTCCACCCCATCCACCCATCTCACAGTGCTTCCTCCATGACCCAGAAACACCATGCTCAGGATACCATCACAATGGAGGGGGACATCTGCTCCACAGGGCCGCACACATCCAGCCCAGAGCAGAGCAAGAGAAAACAGGGCTAAATGAAGAAGGGAGAATGCAAGGGAGTTAGCAGAACTTCCTGGTCCTAAGGCTCTTTAGGCATTGGAATCTGGGGGAAGTGAAGCAGCTGTGGGTAGAGGGTGAAAATTCCCTCTGGATTTTAGCAAAGAACACAAATGCCCATCTGTCTTAGATGGCTTAGCTCAAGCCAGCTTAGGGGCCAGATGGATGGGTCTGAGGACTCTGGAGCCCCACTCGCCCATTGATTGCCAGGAATCAATGCCCATCTCTCACATCCAGCATCAACAAACAGGTACGTGCAGTGTCCTGTCCAGCTTTACTCTTGGAACCAGTAACAGCAGGCGATACTTACCAAGTGTGTACTATGGACCAGAAACTGCAGAAAAAGACCTTTACACACATCACCCCACTGGACTTCTACTACAAAGGAGGTACTATTATGGCCTCTGCTTTATATGGCAAGGAAACTAAGGCACAGGAAGGTTAAATAACTAGGCCGAGGTCACACAGCTAGGACTCAGTGGCACCAGGAATAAATCCAGGTGTCCCAAAATGCTTCAACTACCTCTCTTCTACCTACCTCTTCAGAGCCTGGGGCTCCCTGGGAGGATTGCCCCTGGATAACATCCTGCACATGCTCAGGCGAACCATAGCTGGATCTAAGCGCAGCTGGCCCTAAGTGGCGTGCCCTTGTTTATATAGGCTGTGCGATCTATTCATGGAACATTCAAATACAGTGTCATCCTGCTCCCCAGCAGGCTGTCATATCTCATTTTTCTCTATCCTTTCTCTCCATTCTCTGTGGCTGACCTACATCCCTTTAGCTGTAGATATTCAGCAAAAATTATAGGTGCGGAACAGAGGAGAGGGGATGAGCCTGGGGAACAACAAAGGTGGTGGCAGGACCTTGACCACAGGGACTCAGATTGGCAGATTTTGCCTTTGAGTCCCTTCATTCAGACATGATGTATCCACTCCCAGCCCTTAGTCACTCAGAAGACCCCAGAGGTATCACCTCCTGGCCAGATGGCCACTGGACTGCCAAGTGACCTGCGGCCCCTTTTCTGATCACTGCTTATAACCAACTCTGGCTAATGCCAAGCAGGCCATGAAAGTAAACCCCATGGGATTCTGGGGGTCCTCCCCTTCTGCTCCCTGCACCCAGCTCCACCTGCTGCGGCCCTGAGAGGGCAAACGGTGCTCAGGACCAGCTGTGGGGCAGCCGACTAACCAAGGTCCATGTCTGCCGCCTTGGGCCGGTGGGAGCAGGGCACATTCTTGAAGATGGCATCCAGAATCTTCTCCTTGACCTGAGTGATGGTGTCACAGTTCAGGATCTTCACAGGGACCTCAGGGCTATTGGCATTGTCTGGGCTGACACAGCTCAGGACCTGCGGGTTCGGGGGAGAGGTCACATGGGTGAAGGCAGCAAGAAGAGCAAGAATGGTTCCTCCTCTCAGGATGGGTGGGCTGACTCCAGTCCACCCGTGTCCCCTCCAGGCCCACTGTCTTCTCCTGTTCAGACAAGTAGGACCCTGCAGCAGCCTCAGTGTCACTGCAGGAGTCCAAACTGCACACTTAACTTCCATCAGGACAAACACGAAATCCTGATTTTCAAAGGGAACAGAGTCTGAGCATAGGGAGGCAATGAGGGAATCTGCAAGAGACTGGCTTTGATGTTTGCAAGCACAGACTCTCTCAAACACGCATGTGCACATGCAGGGGACACCAGCTTCACAGCACATGCACAGCCTCACCCGCCTCGGCATCCCCACCCCACCCCTGTGCATCACTCTGTCCCTCCCGGTACTCTGCCCCAGACACTCAGTACTCAGCGCCAAAGGGAATCCGGTTCCTGTCTCAAAAGATTTAATAGCTCTGATTGTGAGGAGAGGTTGGGGCTGAGAGGAGGCTGGAGAAACTACATATTCTTTAGACATAAAAAGATGCCCTTTAAAAAACTGCAAGTTGATGCCACCTGACATGTCTTCCTGGCTCTGAACATGAAGTCATGGTCAGAGGTCCAGGGAACAAGGCCATTGCCTGGCTTGGGGCCTCTATTTCTCTTTTGGGAACAAAGTAGAAAAGTTAGTTAAAATGCCAGGTCATCAATTTTTTTTTTCTTTTAAGAACGTCGAGGCTTTTCCTCTCCTGCCCTTCTCATGTTGGGCTCTGCACTGTGGGGGCTCCTGGGTGATGCCAGCGACCAGCACAGGTACTAAGGGGCTCAGAAATGAGCTGGGGCACAAGAGGCAGGCAGTGAAGTCTTCCCACCCTGGGGACTGCGGCTGGTTGGCCCTGCCATCCTGGGCCCCAGCCTCTTCCTCTGGATCCTGGGGCCTCTGCGTGCCTCCCCTTCCCCCCTTCCCTCTCACCCCCTCCGTAACAATTTCCCCAGGGCCCCATCTGGTTTGCAGAGCCAGACAGCAGCCCCCTCCCAGCCCATGCAGTGATAATCAAGACCTGGTCCTGGACGCCTGGATTTCATTAGCAAGTAGACTGCTAGAGCTCAAAAGGGGCACATGCTTATTGCATTAAGAAGAAAACAATTACCCTAAAGCTATAAAGCCAAGTGCCACCCTCAAAATCCCCTAAACTGAAAATACTGATGGCAGGGTCTCTGGACTGTGCTTCCACATGTGCCTTCTGCTAGCCACTGCCCTCTGTCCAGGGGCATTCCAGCACCTTCCTTCCACTCAGTAGCCGCGCACAGCCTGACCCTTCTTCCTATTGCTGTGGTGGCCTGCTGTCATGTCCTCTGGGCCGGTGGCAGGTGGTTCAGATTTCCCAGGGCAGCAGCGCAATTTGTCTGGGATTTCTTCCTTGAGACCATGACCTGCAATCTGCGGTTGATCTCCTGGCGCTTCTACTGCCCTAGCAGTTCAGGGTGGCCTCATAGGAACAGCTTGACTGTGCTTCGGGACCAGAGGGGAAGCAGTGGCCTCAGGAGGACAGTGTCCCTGGCCAGGGGCCATGGCACAACTCACCCAAGAGTTCTGTCCCTACCCTGCTTCTTGGCTACTTTCTGAACGAACTGCCTGCTGCTTTCTCTGCTAGGGAAGTGCCCCTCACATGGATGGAACGACTGACTCTGACCCAGGACACCTGCGGCAGGGATAAGATTCTGCACTCTAGCATCCTGCCAGGTGGGCATCTAGCCTCTAACAGGCTTCTAGCTGACTATATAGCACTCCAGCAGCCTCCTGGGTGGGTATCTCAGTCTGCCAGGCTCCCAGGTGTGGGTGACAAGGGTCTTGGCACACTCCATTCAGCAGAGCCTTTGTCCATGCTCATCCGAATTCTAGCATCGCTCTAATTAATCTCTCAGTTCTTAGGAGATGCACTTAGTGTGCCCATGAGCCTCTCAGAGCCCCTCTGTGGTTATCCTTCCTACCCAGGGCAAGGTAACGATCAGCTAACCCAGAAGAGCTCTGGGCTTCTCTAGTCATGGCAGAAGCCCGTCATGGTCCACTTTTGCATCTAACCCTCTCACCTGGACTCTCTACTACCTTGCCTGCCGTGGTGCCCACACCTTCTTCCCTCCGTCTTCACAATGGGTGGAGCCCCTCACTCAGGTCTGGAGGGGACTAGTCAGTATCCCTCACGGTGCATCACCAAGGAAAGCCATCACAGCTTCTTCCCCTTTCGCTCCCTGCCCGGTGTTGGCACCTTAATGGCTGCGCAGCCCTGACCCACTCGTTCCACTGCATTCTCTCTAAGTGAGTCACCTGGAGCCAGCTGGGGCACTAACAATCCTCTGGCCTTTGGAATAAAGGCTGCTGCAATTCGGTGACAGAGCATTATCACGACTCACTGTGTTCCATTCAACATCGGGGAGCTGAGAGAAGCAATGAAAGGGAGTGGAGGGGGATGGGGCAGGAGACATTTAAAGGTAACTCTCTCTCATTAAGAAATCCATTCAGGTCTCTATTTTTGGAAGGGTTTTTCCTCCATTTGCCATTTTAATGGGAGCCTCTAACTCTCCTTCACAGCAGACAGTAACTATGAGGAACCTGGGGCGCCTTTGAATCCCTATAGGGAAGTAGCCCCGTGAATCTGCCCAGATTCTGCTGGGATCCCTGGACTCCAGAAAGATGTGAGTAGGGTACGTGGATTGTGGTTACAGCCCGCCGGCCAGGAGGGATGGCTTAGCTCAGAGGTGGGAATCATCTGTCCAGCTGCCTAGGGGCCCAGGGCTCACCCCCAGCTGGGTAGGAGTTTGTTTGAGAACCCTCCTTCCCAGCTCTGCCCCACCCTGACCTGCTGGTAACTGCATTTTAATCTCACCCATCCCCTGCACCCTTCATTTCCTTGCTGTCTCTCTTGCCTCCATTCTTGAGTGCCACCTGCAAGCTACCTCTGACACTCAGCTTTTATCTTACTTTCTTCTTCCTTCTACTTCCTCTCCTCTTTCTTGAAAAAAGGTGTAATGGGAGGTTTAAAAAACTTGCTAAAAAAAGCCTGAGAGTGAGCTCCCTGGGACTGAAGAGGCAGTAGGCAGCCAGCGGTCAGAGGGACAGTCTTGCTGGAAGGAGGTGGGCGGGGTTGTTGTGAGCAAGCAGAGTGAACATTGACACTGGGCTCCCACCTCCATTCTGGACAGTTATGATGATCTCCATCTCAATAGGCTCTATTATTATTATTATTATTATTATTATTATTAATTATTATTATTATTGTGCAGAAAAAGAAACCCAAACTCAAACAGATTAGAGACCTGTCCTAACTCATCAACTAGTCAGAGGCAGAGTCAGGGCTCAAATCCTAGTCTGATTCTAACCCTGGGTTCTTAAATGTTAACCTTCGCTGCTTCCTAAGACAATTGCTGCCCCCAGGAGGAAGCCTGACCTTGACCCAGGCCATCCCCATGTTCCTTGGACAAACACTTTGCACCAGTAGGCCATCCTAGTTACACAGCTTGGTCACAGCCCTGTGTGAACCTTGCCTGGTGGGTAAGTGTGGGCTGCAGAACCAAAGGAACTATTTGTAGTTGCTTCCCCTGCCCACCCCTGCCTGCATGAACCTGTTCTGTAGGTTGATTGATTCTCCAGTCAGGAGAGTGGATGGGATGTTGCTCACTAGACAGTCAGCCCAGCTGCTGGGGCTCCAACCTCATGATTCAGCACCTGGCCCAAAGCCATACCAGCCCACACACTGAAGTGCTGCTCAGACATAGCAGACCTACTAGGTGCCCTGGTACTGCAGTCCAGAGGAGGTCTGAGGATAGGGAACAGGTAACACCAGCTGGATCCCTGAAGGAGACAGAGCTAGACAAGTGGCTCTTCGGCATTGCTTCTGTCCTTTCTGCAGAGCAGGGCTGCCCTGAGGCCAAAGCCCACTTGCCAGGGTCCAGGAGGAAGCAGCAAGGGTGGCTCACCAGGGTCTTGTACTCGATCTGCTGCCGGATAAGTTTGTCCTCGCTCAGGGAGTAGCGGGCCTCGCCCGTGATGGCATCGATGGGCCCCTTTTCCATCTGCTGCTTGATGGCACAGAACAGGGAGAAGAGGGGCTCCCCAGCGCACTCCTGGATGCAAGAAGAAACATGCTAGCAGAGCTCTGGGGCCGCAGATGTGCAGAGCCCACCCTGCATCCCTTCTTCCCCCACTTTGGTCCATCCTTCTCCTTGACCCCACTTGCTGCTTTGAGCAGGGTTTCGGTTCTCTTTCTGCAACTCCTCACTGCTCAGATTGGTGCCCTGCTCCCGGCTCTTTAGACACAGTCTTCCCCTGTTCTACCATTTCCTGCTACTTTTCTGAGGCTCCCTTCACCTGCTCCTCCCCAGCTTTCTGAGGCCTAAGGAAGAGGCAGAGGTCAGTTCTCTGTGGCACTAAACCATTAGGAAACAAGTCAGTAGTTAGAAGTCCAGTAGCGCCTCAGCTCATCTGCCAAGACAGGCAGCTTCCAGACCTGCCTGGCCCCTTATCAGCTTCTCTAAGTCTGAGGCTAGGAGATGGGAGAGGAACTCAGGGCCCAATGGCTGAATTATTTTCAGCTTAAAATAGGGGTCTAGCTGCCAGAGCCCATATGTCCCCTTCACGCAAGAGATTACATGCTATGTGGGACTGTGTCTCTGAAACTAGCACTGATCATAGGCTCTGCCTTCTGAGACAGTTTATAACAAGGGATAACTCCACTTCTGGGGGGTTAGAAGCACCACGCCCCCATGAGTATGGATGTGGGAGGCATGGAGTGAGTTAGGGCAGGCCAGGCAGAGGAAGGCTCATGCCCAGGATGAGGGGACCATGGCAGGACTAGACCTACATCCAAATCCTATCCTACCTTGAGGAACTTGTAGAGGAGGAACGTGAACCAGTTGGTCAACATCTTCTCAGCCACTGACTCCGTCCTGTCACAGTCACCCAGGTAAGGGGCAGAGGAAGACAGAGAAAGAAGCAGTTGGTCAGGCTCACTGGTTGGGTGTGCAGAGCAAGGGATTCCCTCCACCACATTGCTGCTATGGTTATTAGATCAAATCTTGAGATCCTAACACACAGGAAAATTTTATGGACCTTACAGCCCAGGGGGGTAAGAGGTGTTTTCCTACAAAGCTGGAGGGTGACATGCCAGGCATCAGGTGTCAGGCTCACACCACAGGGGCCTTTATCCTGGGCCTGTCTTAGCACAGCACAGACAGTTTCATAGCACTTTGTGACGATGACAGTGCCCTCCACAGATGCTATCCACACGAGGCTACCTGAGCACCTGAAATGAGGCCAGGGTGCCTGAAGAGCTGAAAATTTTCATGTTAATGACTTTGATGAATTTGGATTTGAGTGGTCACCTACGGCTGGTAGCTCCGTTGTTGGACAGTACAGCCTTAGTGAACTTCATAGGCTGATGTGTTCATTTGAGTGAGAAAAGAAACACATAAGCAAACAAACTCCCAGGGAGATACTATTTTGGCAGGGAATACAGAGGAAGATGCCAGGGGCAGGAGGTCAAGACCAGGTTATCTCATCTAGACAGACTCCGTAATCCCAGCTAAAGACTCCCAACATTGGCAGCAACATGGAGCTGTAGACCTAGATCATCCCAAGAGATGTCAAAAGCCTATTTCAAAGGCTTCCATATACTTTGGAACTTCTCCTAGAAGCCTTCTGCCATCTAGGATTTTATTTGAAATGGCAGGAAGTTCCTTCTTAAGTCTAACCTGCAACTTTTATGCTATGACAGAAGTCCAATTCTTTCTTTCTTCTCTCTCTCTCTCTCTCTCTCTCTCTCTCTCTCTCTCTCTCTCTCTCTCTCTCAACTGACGATGTAGCCCCAGGGTTATAGTTTGGGTTGCATCCTTTTCAAGAAAGTGAATTACATTCAAGCTTGTGCTAAGTGCTTGGCTTGCTCCAGAAACAAACTAGCCCATCCACGTAGTTTGGGTAGAGCATAAAATTGCAGTTGTCGATAAACAATAACTAGAATCCCAAGTAATTCAGGTTGTTGCTGGCACGAAGTGAAGCTGGGAAGAAAAGAGAAGAAAGAATGTTGAAAGGCAGGGACAGCCAGGAGGAAGAAGAGAAGGCAGCAGAGGAGGGCAGAAGGAGCAGAAGCATTAGGAGAAGCAAGAAGAGAAAACAAGACGGGGTCTGCAGAGACTGTGAGACCACGCCAGGAAATTGTCGGTGGGAGCTCTGGCAGGCAGCGGCAACCCTAGAATTATGCCAGTGGGTGGCTGCGTGGTGAAAGTAAAACAAAAATCAAAATGATCTACCTTGCTGTTTCCAAAGCTGTATGATGGCATCTCTGCGCAGCAACCTTTCACAGCTGTGCAGGAAAATATGCCCCCCTCCATACCAGAAAACAGCCTGCAGCAAATGCTTCTGAAAGCCAGATCTACACACTGGGCCAACTGGGGCCACTGAGGCTGGGCCTCAGACCCAGAGATCAAGGGTGAAGGCAGGAGGGCAGACAGACAGGAGTGGGAGGCAGTGCATGGTCCAGGCAGGGGGCTGGATGTGACAGCTTCACACTGGAATTTTCTAGCAGCAGATATGCCAAGGCTAGAGATACTGGAATTCTGAGTAAACAGGAGAAGCACCCCTCCTCAAATAGGAGCAAGGTGCAGAAAGAGCTCCTCTGTTTCCCATAAGAGGAAACTAAAGGGTATGGTCAGGCACTCATACCTGACCCTGCAGGTTCTAACAGTCGAAGGCAAATATCTGTGTGCAGCTATGAACCTGCACCCACTCAGAGCCTATAGCAAGGGCCAGGAAATACTTGCTGGGCTGCATTGGGTAAGATGTTAAAAAAAAAAGGCTTTCTCTCAAGACTTCTCAAACTTTAATATACAGGTACATCCAAGTCACTGGGGTCCTCATTAAAATGCAGATTCTGATTCAGTGGGACGGAAGGGACCCAAACCTCTCTGCAGTGTATTTCTAACCACCTCCAGGATGCTGCCGCTGCTACTGGTCTACAGGCAGCAGGAAGCCATGGGGTCTCTCTATTTCCAGTTCTGACTTTGAGAAGGCTAGGGATGGTCTAAATGACTTCTGAAAATTTTGCGAGAAAAGAATTCCAATAGAAAGGATCAACATTCAGGGAGTGGAAGGGCAGAGAGGGCAGAATGGAATGCAAGGAGAAAACAATGGCTGAACTGAGGACCACGGCTGAGTAACAGGTACTCGCACCTTCTAGGAGGGGTGTGCTGCAGGCTGGCCTCACAGGTCAGTGTCTTACCCTTAGGGAGCAAACTTGCTCTTCTTGCGGCCTGCCTGGTCTCCCTGGAAAGCCCCATGAGCCAGGCTGCAGACAGGGAGGGACAGAAAGTGCTCTGATCCTTATTGGCAGCTGCGGGGCCACACTCTTACCTCCTGAGCAGCAGCTTGGGGTGGTTCTTGCTCTCCAGGTTCTTATCAATGAGGTCGGCTAGCAGCTGCTTCAGCACATCAGTGGCGTACTCCAGCTTGCTCTGCAGCACCGTCATGATGAGCGAAGCCACATTGCCACGGTCCCGCATGGAGAAGCTGCGCTGGGACTCGAGTGTGCGGATGAAGGACAGCAGGAACACCTTGTTGTTGATGAGCTGGGCAAAGAGCTTCAGACCTTTCTCCACGCGCTCCTGCCGGTACCCTGGAACCTGTGGGAGAGATCGGGGGTCCTGATGCCAGCTGCTGGGTGCCCCAGCAGCCTCCTGCAGAATGGCTGTGCCCACACTGTGGACCCTCCCAATCCACCTCTCACCCACTGCTACAAGCCCAGCCACCTGATCAGTGCTACCGAGTCCCTTTCAGGAGCTGGTTCTGTGCCCAGCATCTGCCTGGTCTCTATCATACTCCGTGAAATGGGTCATTATCTCCAGTACAGAGAAGAATCAACTGAGGCCCCAAGAGAGCAAAAGCCAAAGTTTATAAATGGTGATGCTGGGATTTGAATCCACCTCTGCCAGACTCCAGAACCTGAGCTCCTCCCTATGGTGACACAGGACTGATGAGGGGCCTGTGCACAGCAGGCTAATCCAGTGCCCACCTCTGGCCCCGAGGATCCTGTGGACAGGCAGGTGGCTTGAGGCAGGATTTTGGGGTTCCACGTAGTCTTGGCCACGCTATGCTGTATAACCTCAGGCAAGTCCCTTTACTTGTCTGGGTCCACAAATTTGTTCAACTTGAGAAAAGGGGAAGATGGAGGCCAGCAGTCTCTGAAGAACTCTCTGACTCTGACATTTGATGTTTTCAGGAATCTTCTTTCAGAGGTTGCACCATGCCCTACCACCCTGTGTGAGTATTGTGTGGATGAAGAGACAACGTGTGAAAAGCCTGCACGTACAGCCTGCCACACAGGCAGGTCACCGATGGCAGCTGCTTTATCCCGCTCTGCAGGCCAGAGAAAGCCGGTCTACCTAAGGTCACAGAAGTGGCAGAAACATTCATGCTACTCATGACAGAGCCCTGCCATGTTCCAGGCTTGGGGCAACATGCAGGCAGGAGGCAGGTGTGGGGCAGCCCCAGGCCCTGTCCTTGGAGACCACTGCCTAATTACAGGGCCCTCCTGGAGTGGGCACCAATGGCTGCCCTGCCTCTGAAGAGAAGAGCTCTCCCGGAGTATCCTGGTCGCCTGGCATCAGCAGCTCCCATGGGTCTGGAAGCTGGTAGGAAACATGCAATCTATCAGATCAGGGCTGTTTTCATTTTTCATGTTACAGTGCTCATACTTGGAAGGCGAGTTCTTTGGGAACTCATCTACAGTTATGAGAGCACAGCAAGTGCCAGCCAGGGACACCCCGGCACAGCCCCTCCCCAACTTGTGGGCCCTGCATTTCCCAAGCTGGACCTAGCTTCTGCTTGCCTCCTGCCTGGCTATCAGTTCTCTGCTCCCTTGGGAGCTGATAAGGGGTCAGCATGGCACATGTGGCACCTTCACCTGGTGAGAGTCCAGACCTTGATCTGCCAACTGTATGACTCCCATTGACTTCTCTGCCATGCTTGTGGTCACCTTTCACACACTTAGCCACATTTGACTTCCTCTGCTCTTTAACACACTCAGAACCGCATCTCTCACTTGTCCAGATAGTAACACATACTGCTATTTACCGGCACTTACCATGTGTAGCACACAGTGCTGGACACATTATGTGTATTATTCCAACAAGGTCTTCTCATGACCTTGCAAGATAATAGTCTCTCGGAGAGCTTCCAAACTTGTCCCAAGGCCACCCAGCTGGTAATGGCCATCTCTGGATTTCCAGACTCAAGCTTATCTGGCCCCTGAACATCTGGCCATACTCTCCACCTGCCACCCATCCAGTGCTATCCCTAGGCTTAGCAGCTACCTAAGTCAACTCTGGCTTCTTCCTGTAGCCTTCCTTTCCATCAAAGCCTTGCAGCAGCTCAGGCTGGCTGTCAAAGGGAGAGCATCCATGGGTAGGTTTGGCACACTGTGGATCTGAGCAAGAGAGGACACAGGGCCAATTAGGAGGCTCAGTTGCCATGAGGACACTGTGCACTTTCTCTATTCAACACACATTTGCCTGGTGAGCAGCAAGGGCCTGGGGCCCTGGACAGGAGAGTTTCAGCACAGCTACCTGCAGGAGAGAGCATCCAAGCCAGACACCACAGAGAAAAATGCCATCACCTCTGGGGTCTACTGCCTCATCTTTAAAGCAAGAATATGAGTGCCTATGTCATAATGTTTTATGAACATTAAATAAGATAATGTATGTAAAGTGGTGCGCACTTAAACAGCACGGGTTTATTACCTGCCTCTCCGACTCCACTGTCTGCTCTTCACAGATCCCTTGTGCCCAGGAGTTCCCACCATATCTAATGCACAGAACCTTTTGTCTGGGGGTGCACAAAACAGAAGTTTTCTCCCCGTGTTATGGAAGGAGGAGACAGAAGAGAAGCATCTTAGTCATGAATGTCTGAAACAATTCGCCTTTGCAGCCTGCCCCCTTCCCCCAGGCCAACGCCACGCTGCAACAAGACTTTCTTTCATCACCAGATGGTTCTATGCTTCAGCTGAAGTCTGTGAGTATAAAACTGCACAGTAAATTTTAATTGTAATTCAGTAGGTTAGAGTTTAGGTGCTGGTGATGGATTGCAATTCGGAGTATTTGAGTGATCGCTTCTTGTTTTGAAAGGATTGGTGTGTGACCAGGCCATGAAAAGCCACTTCCCCAGGTGCCTGGCCTCACCCAGTGGACCACAAAAATTGGGCCCTGGTGAAGTAAGGACACCCTGAAGTGAGAGGAAGTCTCTCCTTTCACATTTCCAAGGGTCAGGAGTCTCAGGGGCTGCAAGGGCTGGGAAACACTGCTTTAGATTAATCAATGACTTCCCTTGGAAAGTTTCCACACTTAGGACATGGACAGTAAGAAACACTTCTGGGGGCAAAACTAGATTGTAAACAAACAAGATCTTAAGTGACATCCACATAAGATCCCAGGATCTTATATAGCCCCAGGTAAAGTGGGACAATAGAAGTTGATTTCTGTCTGAAGTCCCTAACTAGTGAGTTTGTTGGAAATGAAGACAATGGTCTGTGTTTACACCTAAATGGATTAGAAGCAGAGACTGAAACAGATACTTGCACACCCATGTTCACAAGAATACTACTCACAAGAGCCAGACCCTGGAAGCCTATCAAACATCCACTCACAAATGAATGGATAAACAAAATGCAGTCTATCCATGCAGCTCAATCTTTCCAGCTTTAAAAAGGAAGGAAATTCTGACTGGTGCTACAAGGGATGGATCTTGAAAAATATTATGTCAAGTAAAATAAGCCAGACAAAAAAGGACAAGTGCTGTGTTCTTCTCCTTATATGAAGTTCCTCAAGTAGTCAAATTCCTAGAGGCAGAGACTAGCAATGGTGGAAGAGTAAAGGGGGAGTTACTGTTAAGTAGGTTGTTTGTTGGTGAAGATAAAAAAGCTCTGGGTGTGGATGGTAGCCATGGCAGCATGACAAAATGAGTGTACTTAACTCCACTGAACTATACGTTTAAAATGGTTGAAATGGGAATCTTTTACGGTATGTATATTTTACCACCATTTATTTTAAAAGCCACTTGGCCGGCTTGACTGAGAGCCTGTGCCCAACAATAAGCCATCTACGGGCCCTGTGTTGAGAGGAACGAGTCAGGTGTACCCTCAAGAACAGGAGGCTGGAATCAGAGTTTCCTCTTGTTAACAAAGGCAAAGAAACTAGAGGCTCCTCCTGTTTGAGGGGAGATTTGAACTTGCTAGCTGAGGAATAAGGCCACAATAGGACATGATGTTGTTTATATGGTGGGTAGTAGGAATGTTCTAGGGTTGGGGCTGGGGGAGGGCCTGTCCCCTAAAAGAGCACCTGAGGAGGAGTACACAGCCAGGTAATCAGCAGGACCAACAGCCCTGCATCTCAGAGTCCCTCCATAGTCCTCAGAGGGCTGCTCACCCAACACCCTGTCCTGGTGGTGGTGGGCGGGGGATTCCAAGTGGGGGGTGCACCCTTGACAGTGCTTCTAACTCTTTGGGGTGGGCAGTGTCTCCATGCAGTGAGGACACAATGAATCCAACAAATCAGAGACTGTCCTGACCATGCCCTCTGGAACTTTCTGGGCAGAGAGAGGAGTGTGAATCATTCATACTGAAGTTCTAGACACCCCTGCTTGGGGAGCCTCAGTTGCTGGAGAATAAAGTAAGAGGGCCCAGAGCAGGAAGAGTGGGATAGTGCCAGCTGCATTCAGGGTCCTGAGGGGGACTTGAAGGATGGCCAAATTTCTTTCTCACTGGGTTATGTGTCTTAAGTAACAGCTAGGCATTGTGCAGCAGTCCTCTGCATCTTGCTCCTCTTGGAAAACTGGTCTTGGAGGGAAGGCCTGGAGAGGCACAATGAGATAGAAATCCAGGCAGCTTCCAGCCAGGGGCTTGTTCCAGTGCAGAATGGCAATGAGAAGGAATCACTTGAATTCTGGTCCTGGATGATCAGGGCTGCCGTGCACAGCGAGGCAGATTGCACACTGAACTACTGGAGGTGGGCTGCATATGAGTGGGTCCATTGGATCAGCTCAGTGTCCACCTGCACAACCACCCATGAGGTCCTGTGGGAGAGTGAGCCCCACTAACCTCGCTGCCATCAGCCTGTGGGGGTGTGCCAAGCCACATTTGAGAGCTGGGAACCTATGGGAGGCAAGTATACATATGAAAGCAAGAAGCTAAATGAGACGAAGAGATAGGACATGGTAGGATGTATACTGTGGACCATAGGAATTGTCTGGATGAACTCTGTGTGTGTGTGTGTGTCCATGGTCATACCAGGATATGAGAAGTGACTGTCCCTGACTGCTCCAAAATATTTAGGCTTGCCCAGCTTTGACAAGGTCTTAGAAAATCCAATTTAGAAGTTACATCTTTAAGGGAAACCTACTACAACTTAGAGTTTTGAACTACTGAAAAAGGAGACCAACTTTATGTATCCATCCTAGTAGAATCTTATATTATTCTCTATCCTGTCCCCCAAGGGGGCATAATTCCCCTTCTTAGAACTGCTATTTCCATCCTGATGCACACAGACACACAGACATTTGCCTATTCAATCACTCATTTTCTGCACACCTACACTCTGCCAGGTACTCTACTCTATAGGAAGCTGGAAGTACAAAGGTAAATAAGGAAGGAGCAGTGTCTGTGCATCTAATCACACACAGACACACACACACAGTACTGTCTTTTTGTCACTGCCAAGTGTCACTTTAACCAGGAACCTACAGACCCTTCAGTGCACTCAGAAGGCCAGTATTTTGATATATACAAAAATGAGGCTGGGGAAGGTGGAAGGCAGAAGAAAATGGTTGGGGGAGGGAAAAAAACACAAATCTAGAGTTGGACCAAGGCAATGGGTGGATTGAAGTGTCGTGAGACGCCTTGCATTTTTATACTCATGTGATACATGTATAAACACCTGCATACACATGTGTAGACAGACAGAAAAGGTGCATGACCAGCGCAAACATAGAGACCACTGCCCACAGCCTCTGGAAGTGGTATCTGTCAGCTGAGGAGCTAAAGGGAAACTCTCTAGCTCATGCCTCACTATAGAAAAGTATACACTCCCTTCAACAAGTAGGCATGGAGACAGGTGTGTGCCCCCACATGCTGTAGACATCCAGGTGTGCTGCTGAGGTGCCTAGCCTGCTGCATCCCTCAGAAAGCACATGTGCACACTCCCTTGGGCATCAGCACTTGCAATACCACGTGACTCCTGAGCAATGAGTCTCTTTTTATTTTATGGACTAAGGCCATCTTGAAGTTCATTTCCTTTTCTGTATGACTTTGGCTGTAGATTTCTTATGCACTATAACAAAAGTCAGGACTATTAGGTTGGCCACTGCTACAGCACCCCAGAGGTCTGGTGCCAAGGTTTGTGGCTAACAGCAAGCATGCTGGAGTTCCACTGCCTGGGCTCAGCACTTTGTTCTGTCCCCAGCAGATACTGAACTTCTCTGTCCCCTTAGTTTTGTCACCTGTAAAATGGGTTTAGCAACTCAGAAAGTCCCTGAACAAGTTCATGCAAAGTGCTTAAAGCCACATGGGAATGGCTAACAGTCAACTAATACTCATCAGTCCTTAGGATTATCATGTGCTCTGGCTTCCTCATTTATATTTTTCACTTCTCTCTGGTATTTATCTTTATAAGCAGTTCTAAAGCCCTTTCAGAACAAGGCATAATATGAATATATGCATAAGCCAGATACCATGCTAGACAGCAAGTGGGATAAAATGCTGAGAAGATCAGGTCCCTGCTGCTAGAAAAACTGTCAGGTTTTATCATTCACATTTCCACCTCCACTCCCTGCAGATTGCTTATCTTTTCCAACTAGGCACCAAGTGGTAAAATCCCTTATATATATTTATTAAGCACCAACTAAATGGTAGGATCCTTTATAACATGGTTTCTTAAACAAGGGTCTACAAACTCACTACATTTCTTGTTTCTGTGTACAGGTAAAATTTTACCGGAAGGAGTCCTTAAATCCCATTCAACTCTCAGAGAAAACTGTGAGCCCAAAGACCTGAAGTGCTACTACTCACATGTCTGCTCCGATGTTCCCTGGCTGGGCCCTGTCTTCAAAAGAACTGGGTTGTACCCATAAGCTAGGGGGCCTCAGCCATGATGTGTCCTCTCCCTGGCCTCAGCTTTCTCACCTCCAAATGAGAGGCCAGACCTGCAGGCTTCCAACATGCTGCCCTTCTCCGACACCAGCAGGGGCCACCGTTTCTTACCTCCAGGTCCCGGAGCACAGGGTGGTCTTCAATTCCCGGGAACAGCACCCGCATGGTATAGGTCCTGTAGTCCAGGAAGGGAATCCCGGCTCCATCCAAGTCACTGGTCAGCTCATGGATGTCTGTCTGCAGCTCAGCAAAAGCTAGCACAGAGAGAAGCCCGTGAGACTGCTGGAGAGGGGAGAGATGTTCAAGAATGACTGGGATGAAAAGCATCCGTGCTGGCAGGAATGTGTAGTGTGAGAAAGCCTGTCTGGGGCTGTCTGCCTTTCCAGTGGCAGAGGGCTGGTGAGGCTGTCCACAGCCCTATGCTGTGGCTGAGGCCAGGAGGAACTCCCCGCCCGAAGAAGAAAGGCTTTGGTTTGCAAGCAGGGTTGGGAGGAGGACATGGTGGAACAGGAGGAAAGAGAGAGGCTAGAGGGTGCATCTATACTTGTTGCTGTGGTTTCCTTATGGCATTTAAGAACAATTTCTTTTGATAAAGGGAGAAAGTTTGAGGGCCCAGTTTTGGAGTGTGCAGTTCACTGGGACCCTCAAACCTCCAAATGGGGCTGGGGTAGAGGGACTGAGATCAACATCTTCCTTCTACATAGATACACAGGGTGTGTCTTTGTCCTCCCTACTCAAGGTGATGCTGCCTGGTGCTGAATTATGATCTGCACATGGGCACTTCTGTCGGTGGGGGCCGCTCAGACATCCAGATGGACAGAGTGATGAGATTCCAGCTGGCCCCTGAGAAAATCTGGCACAGTGCAGCCTGGGGTTGCTACACAGTGCCAAAGTTCTCATTGCCCACTGTCATAGACACATCCTCCCCTGGTGCCACCCTCTGCCACTCAAGGTACTCAAAGGTGAGGCAGGCAGCCAGGCCTTGCTCTGCCTTTCTCTTTGGAATGTGCACATACATGTACACATGCTCATGCACACTAGTATACATATGCATACATACATGTACACACACATGCATGCATACACACATACACATCAACCAGGATGGATGAACACATGTTGGCAAAGAATAGGCTTGAGATGTTGACCAATCAATGTTTCTATCTATTTATATGGATGTAAGAATAGGGAAAAATACTTGGTAGGCTAGGAAGGGCTTCACAAGCCCAGGATGAGTCTAGGGCCCTCAAAAAGCAGGCGTAGCACCCAGTGGGCTGTTCTGACATATGAACATGACTTAGGTGCCCCAGGAATTGTGGTAGGGCCCTGTCCCATCTGTCCTAGTGATTTTGGTGCAGCTCCGCCCTGCAGTGCTGATGTCGAGGCCATGGGTCACCATGGGTCTTGGTATGAAGCAAATTCCATGCCTTGCTGGAGAGGACAGAGCTTAGGCCCGGACACCGGAAGTCCTGCAGCCTGTTCCTCTCCTCTCCCACTTCCCAACTCTGCTTTGTCCACATGGGCTCTTGTCATGCAGAGTGACCTGGAGGCAGGGAGCCCTAATATAGTGAAGCAGAGCTTACTCCCGTGTGTGGGAGTATGCCTGCGCACATGAGTGCAGGCGCACAAAGGAGTCAGTGGTCGTTTTTGGCATGTGCTGTCATCAAAAGCCCACTAGACACTCACGTATGTCCTGGGTGAGGCGCACACACCTATGTGTGTGTACCTGCCTGTATGGGAAAGTGCATGAGCAGGCGTAAGAGTGTGTCTTTGTATACATCAGTGTGTCAGTTGTGAGTGTGCATGTTGTGAGTGGGACTGGCTGAGTGTGAGCATGTGTATGTATGTGCAGGCTAGTGTGTCAGTGTGAGAGTGTGGGGGTATGAGAGAGTGAGTGCATGGGTGTGTGAGTGTATCAGTGAGTGAGAACCAGGACTGTGTATCTGCTCATGCATGTGCTTCCATATTCAAGGCTCAGAACCCTGTAGGGAGGAGCAGGGCATCCTCTGAATTTGGATATGGGTGACATCCTGGCTCACTGTGAAGTTTCCAAGAAGATCCTGCCCTGACCCACACCCTACAAATGCTAAACAGCAGCGCTAGGCCTTGGAAAGTGCCTCCATGGTAAGAGTCCTGTGTGTCCTTTGCTGGAAGATTCCTTCTAGTCCTTGTGCAAGGCTGTCCCCTCAAGCCCTCAGCCCAGGCTCCCTGTGGGCCTGTACCAACTTTTAGGCTGGAGTCCTGCCTGCCTACTCAGCCCGCCTTCCCAGAAGACCTTCTATCAGATCCTTGGAGCTGTGCGGCGCTGTGCACTGCCCCTGGCTGCCCCTCCCCAGTTGGGGTGCTCAGCTGGCTGGGAGGAGAGGGATGAAACCAGCTTTTGATCCCTCTGCAGTTTTCCTTTAAGTCACCAAGCGCCTCCAACATTCAAAGCCTCACGCCTGCCACACATAAAAGAGATTCTAATCACTACACCTAATTAGATGGAAGAGTACATTGCAGAGAAAAAAATTAAGCAGCGTAAATATAATAAAAGCAGTAATTAACAGTCCCACAAGGCGGATGTTGTGTTGACAGCTGAAGGATGCAAAGAGGGGATGGAATGGATCCACTTCCCCATCAAAACTGGCCGCAGCTTCCCTGGTGGGAACTGGTGTGATTCGAGAGCCCAGGTATAGGGCTGGATTAGCTCCGCGTACACTCTGACTGCAGAGAACTGGCTCAGTCCTCCTCCTAGGGTGACTCAGGCAATGATGTCCTGGGGTTACGTGAGTCTGGTTCCTGAGTTTCCTTCTCGGGTGTAGTGTAGCTGATATCACTTCATGGTGGTGTTTGTATTTTTGTTAGATACCAGATGTGAAACACTCTTTCTTCAAAATCACAGATCAGCCCTACGGTCTTTCCTTGCTGCTGAAGGTAGAGGGATGATTGCTTGACTGTGTCATGATGAGATCTCCCCACATCTCCCCTTGAGGACAGAATGAATTAAGGTTCATTCAGCTAGGTTCTGGGTCTGGAGATTGCTGGGTGGTGGTGATTCAGCATTACCCCTGGAAGGTCTTACTTCCTCCTCACCATCGTGGACAGATAGGTAGGGCTTTGATCTGGGACACAAGCTCAGAGACTGGCATTAATTCTCTGAATCCGACACCCAGCCTGCAGCACTGCCCATGGCTACTCAGCCTGAGGCTTGTGAATGAGAAATACATGCACATACATATGCACACACATGTGCACATGCATATGTGTGTACACACACAACCTCCAGAGGTGTTTATCCACGGCTGCTCAGACTGCTTGCATAGTGAGAAACACATACATGTACATATGTATATGCTGTGTATGTGCATACATACATATATACATACAACCTGTGGCACTGCTCATGGTTGCCCAGCCTGTGGCTTGGTGAATAGGAACACACACATGTACATGAGTACACACACATGAACACATGCATAAATGTATGCATACAAACACAGACACAACCTCCAAAACTACCCAGTGTTGCCCAGACTGCCTGTTGTTATACAGAAGCTCACAGAAGTATACACACAGCCTCTGGCAAGGACACAGCACCGTTACTAGTACCTTCCTTGCACTCCAGTGCCACACGGGACTCCAGGTTGTCCATCTGCATCTGCAGCCGCTTCAGCGTGAGGTCGCTTTCGCGGGACTTGCGTTTGTAGGCGATGAGCACAGCCACGATGAAGATGATGAGGAGGCCACCAGCCACAGCGATGCTGATGATGGCAGGCAGGCTCAGAGGGCTGTCCGGGGCGATGTACACCATCCCTGGGGAGTACTCCATGCCGCCCACACGGGCCTGAGGACACACGGGGTGAGAGGGAGGTATGTGTGGGGACAGAGTCAGGAGGAGGGAGGATGTGACTGGCAGGGAGGAAACCCATCAGGTTGTAAAAATAAAGGAGAGAGCCCATGGGGCTGGGAGAGGGGCGAGATGGCAGAGGTAACCCCTCGACAAGAGAATCTGAACATCCTTTTATTCGGGAACCCATGTCGTCTTCATCAGGAGACAGCCCACAGCTGGTGCCTATGCAGCCACAGAACATCCATGACAAGCTTCCCCAAGACTCATCTCCTTGTCGGGGTGGACGCTGAGGCACAGAACAGGACACTATGGATCTCCCTAGGCCAGAGATGCCTCTCTCCTCGAAGGCTCTCCTACAGTGCCCTTGTTGTCACACCAGAAGGTACAGAAAAAATGATGAGGTGGAGAGCAGAAGCTGGGATGTGGCATGGGTGCAGGGTAGCTGGTAATGGACTGGGATCTCTCCTGGAAAGCCCCAGAGGCCTGGATATGGCTGGACCACTCTCACCCAGCATCACTCCCACTTGCTCCTCTGACAGGGGTCCTGCCAGCCTCACCATCACTTTGTGCCTGCCGATGAGGTTGGGGGACTCGCAGAGCAGCTGCACATCTGACACTGTCACAGTGCACGGCTTCTCCCCGACCAGCACGGTGTAGTTGAGCTTCACGTTGCCCCCAGCCACAGGTGGGATCAGGTTCTTACCCTGGACACACAGAAAAACTCCCATTCCCACCAGAGTCATAACCACAGTTCCTAGTGGCTGCCATGTCTTCACAGCAGATATCTCATCTAGCTGGTGAGGTGATGGAGGGACCACCTACAGTAATATGTCAAAGGCATGTGCTATGGCATGGATGTGGTTTGACCCCCAGAGTTCACATGTTAGAAACTTGGTTCTTGGGTCAGTGATAGTAAGAGGCAATGGAACATTTAGGAGGTGGGGCCCAGTGGGGGGTCATTACTATCCCCTCCTTGCCTTCTGGCTTCCTATCTCACCATGTGATTCTCCCATCACTAAGAGTCAATACCACACTATTTGGACTTTCAACCTCTAAAACTGTGAGCTCATTAAACCTATTTTCTTTGTAAATATCCAGCCTCAAGTATTTTGTGATAGTTACAGAAAACAGACCAATATAGCATGTATACAACCATCCTCCCTTCCTCCCAGTGGGAAATAAACAATTGAAGTATTTTTTAGCTTATCCTTAGTGCAGTCTCAGAATCCTTCTCAATGCAGAACAGAGTTGTGGTCAGTCACTATCATTTGATTCAAATTGTCATATAAGATAAAGTTAACTTGTAATCCACACTCCAAAGAAAACCTAAGGTGTGTTTTGCAAATGGGTACATGGGAGGACACAGCATGACTCTCTGACCACCCAGTTCCTGGTCTCTGAAGACCAAAGTTCGGGCTTCCAATAGCCTAGGTGGATCTACCTGTCCTGGATAGATCCAGCCTGTTGAGTGCTAGACTCTACACACAAGCTCTGCAAAGGACATCAGTCATGAAATCTGGCAGGAGCCTTTATCTGTCTTCTTCCCATGCCTAAACACCCTCCCACTCCATGCAGTGGCCTTTTATCCTGCCCTCACTATACCTTCAAGATGATGGGAGTGCCAGGCTTTAGCTCCAGGATTCCTGAGGGTGCAAAGGCTTCAAACACAGGGTTGGGATAGTAGGTGAAGTTGGTCTTATTGAGGATGAGCAGGGATTGGACATTGTCCAGGATGAAGCCAAATTCCTCAGGTCTCTCAGTGAGGTCTGACTGGTGGTCAGGATCCAGGGCCAGGGCTGGAGCCTGGCAGGTCATCTCAGTAGCGTTTAGAACCTCACAGATCTGTGGGAGGAGACAGAGAGGGAGAAGACATAGTGTATCTGCACACCCCATATGTGCTTGGTCTCCCCTGAAACTATCAATGCATCAGAGTTAACACAGGACTATGGATGAAGGAGCTGCACTTGGATTCTCAGAGCTATATTCTGTGGCTGTCACCTCACTCTGGTTTTGCCCAAAGTTGGGCTAGGAGTGACTAGGGTAGTTTCTAAGCTAGGGAGCAGTAGAGGGCTGGAACGATGGAGGAGTAGGGATGTGAAACCCCAGAAACTCTGGAAGTGATAGGTCCTCCAGGCCTGTACCCCTAAGAGCTGAAAATGCCCACCATCCTAGCACTGAGGGGGATCGCAGACTGTGGGTCCCTCTGTGGGTAGGGGTGCCTGGGTCACCCAACCCTTTGAGAAAGCAACATGTTGGACTCACATTGATGTGCTCCTTCCCTCCATGCTTGGCACGGATCTGGGGGTTTTGAATGAGATCCAGGTGAGTACCCCAGACAGCGATGGGTGTGTTACCACTGCCAGGAAGGAAAGAATGGGGCACGTGAATCACAGTGTAGTAACAATGGCACCCAATGGCGACAGTGATGATAATCAAGATGAGCTCTGACAAGAACAATGATAACCAGACAGCACAATAATGTTCTTGGGGACAAGGATGACAAGCCAATTGCATGTAATAAAAATGAGCATCTCAGCAGCCAAGGGGAAGACAGTGATGTCCAGAAGTCTGTGGCATTCTTCATTGAGCTGACTTGAAGTGAGGACAGTGTGGGGAGACCCAGGTGACAGCACAGCCCCTTGGGTCTTTAAGGCCCCTGACCTGAGCCTGACTAAGCCAGCCACCTCTTTCAACTCCTAGTCTTCCTACTCTTGGCACTTTTGTCACCTTGGCCTTGGTCTAATGGAAGCCTTGCTCCAGATGTCCCATCACACCCTCCAGGGTCCAAGCACACCTTCCTCCAGCTCCCTGGCAATCAGACTAACACCTTTGCCCTAGGATGCTTCAACAGGTTGGGATCTGGGAAAAGCAGTGGTCCAGGCACTCAGAAAACTTCTCCAGGAGGTGAGTGTGGGGGGGCTCCAAACTCAGGCCTCTGCACCTTGTGGTGCACAGGACACTGATGGAGAGGTTCAGGAGATGGGGCTTGCTATAGACCTTCAAAGGACGCGACTGCCATGTCCCCAAGGAGGCTGATGAGCTGGCAGAAAGGAGTGGGTAGCACTCTGCTGGGCTAAATCTTCCTTGGGAGCTTCTCAAAGGAGAGCAAGGATTGACATGTTTTCTAGGCAAAGGAGCATCTTTGAGAAGATTCCTATGTTATAAAAGGGCTTAGCAAGTTAACTAAGAGTATTCTTACCACACATACTGATTTCTACCCATCTACCCACCTGCCCAGCTTCAGGCTCCCAGTTCCTTCCTTCCTTTGGTCCTTGAGCACACATAGATTCCTGTGGCACCCACAGAGGCTCTTTTGTCCCAACAATGGTCAAGATAGGCTTGAGATGTCCAGCCATCTCCCTGGTCTTTTCAATCATCAGTTGCATATGCAGGTACAGTGCCCTTATCCTCTCCCCCAGCCAATAGGGCAGCTTGTTAAGCAGTGCAGAACCATACTTTGTGCAGAGTTTTGCTGAGTCCCACCCATCCTCAGACTTCCTTAACCTAACCAGGAGCACTGGAGCTGAGTGGCAGTCCTAGAAAAGTCTTCAGCCTCCTTCTTGATGTGAATATGACACAGGGATGGCTGATGAGTACCGGGAAGGATGACACATCTCTTTCTGTGATGATGGCATGATCCCAGGCTGTGAATTTTTCAGAGTCCCAGAGCTCAGTGAGTAAAGCATGAGGGGCTACATTCATTCCCTTGATTCACCAGCCAGCCCTGGGGTCAAGGGTTGATGTGCCTTTTCACAGGCTGTTTTCTTCTCTGTGCCTAATCCTTTTCATCTGCAAAAAGATCACGTCTAAAGCTCCTAGGGGTGGCCTGACCCAGTGACTCCTGAGGACAGCTACATTTCACCCCAGCAGCTATACTGCCTTTCCTCTGGGCTAAGGCAGAGGGTGGCATACCCCTTCTAAAATACTACACAGTAAGTATTTTAGGCTCTACAGGCCTTATGGTTCCTGTCGCAATTACTCAACTCTGCTGTGGTGGTAAGAAAGCAGCTAGAGACTATACAGATAGAACGGCATGGATGGGTGTTAATAAAGCTTTATTTATAAAAGCGAGTGATCAGCCAGATTTGACCCAGGCATCACTGGTATTAAGACTGTTCCCTTGACTGGACTGGTCCCTGCTTTAGCCATGGAGAACACTCCTTCATGCTGTCCCTACACTGCCCCAGCCCCAGCCTTACTCAGGGCAGAAGCAGACAGTGTTGGTATGCGGAGGACTGAGCTCTGGCAGGGACAGAAAGGACAAGACTGAGGCCTGGTCAGGGAGCAGGGGAGGGAGCTGAGCCTGCACCGCTTCATGCATCCTCCAGGATCTGGAAAAGCAGACACATGCTGTGTGCCTGCAGCTCCACCTCTGATGTGAGATAAGTCCTTTCACAGACCCTAGGTTTCCAAATCCCCAGGTGACTTGCAGAAAAGTTTTCTACTTTGTAACTTGCCCCTGGTGAATGACTGAAGGGCCCTGACTCTTCACCAGGGTCTTTCTATACCAGCATCCAACACTGTTCCAGCCATCTGGGACATTCAGTGCCCTCCTGGTGGACATTAAGGGAAGCAAGGTACCAGGCCCAAACCCTGTCCTTCAGGAAAGTTGGCTCCGATCTCACTCTTCCCACATACCTCAGCCTGAGGCAGAACCAGAATGCTTCTATCTGCCATAGTGAGGAACCCGGCACCCACTGTGAGTAGGGGAGACACAGCCTTGAAATCAGGGCCCAGCCTCCAGATTGGGTCCTGCATGGAGGTGGAAGGAGGGAGACATTGCGGGAGGGTGATCTAATTTGGGGGTGTTCAGAACCAAACCCAGTCCATCTGTCTCCAAAGCAAGACTGGGCCACCAGGACTTTCCTTGGCTTTTGAGAGCTATGGAAGGGAAACTGAGGCCCAGAGCCATGAAAGTACTGTTAGGGCAGCTCCTACCTGACGATACTCCACTCTGGCTCAATGCGCACAATGGTGGGGTCCTCCACGTACTGGAAGACCAGGTCCTGGCGGATCTTGGCTCTGTCCACCTGCACTGTCACCTTCATCTCCAGAATCTCATCTGAGGACGTGGTGTTGCAGACGATGAAGGAAGGAGATCGCCTGCAGGAGAGAAGGCAGAGCACTGGGGCCCTGGATGTTGACAGGATGGTGCTCCTGGGTATTATACCCCACTCCCCATATGAGTCAGGCTCCTCAGAGGTAAAGGGCGAGCACTGGCTTGGATGCAAAGCTAAGAACGGGGAAGAGAGACTCTCCTGGACTGAGCTCTACACAGGCTCCCTGAGCCCACCATTCACACAGGCCTGGTCCTGGGCCTTTGGTCTACCTAGCCCCGTTTTTGTTTTGTTTTTTTTTTTTTTACCAAGAATCCTGTGAAATCAGTCTGATGAGGATTCCAAGCCCTTTATTTCTGATGACCCTGGTCTTCTCTTGGCACAAATCCCAAGTCAGCTCCGCCAGGATGCCCCCTTGCCAACTCCTGTTCCCAGTTCTCCCGATCCTCATGCTGCTGGTTGGCTCAGCTCACAGCACTTGGAGTTGAGCTGTCTCTCTCCCGCTCTCCACTTTGCCGTGGCTGTGCTGGCCAAGCCTTCCTTGCTGTTTTAACAGGTGTCAGAGTTGCTTGTTCTCTAACACTACTAAAGCACCCTCTGGGCTAGCCCTACTTCAGACCCGTGACAGCCCTTAGCACAGTCCCCTCCAGGAACTCCTCTCTCTAGAGACCTTCAGGCTGGGCATCTTCTGGAGCTCATGGGAGGCCAGGCGTGCCCTGCTGGGCTGGATGGTGGCACAGGGAGGAAAAGCCACCTGCCAGCAGGCTCAGACTTGGGCCTGCTCCTACCAGCTTTGAGTCCCAGTCTGTGGCAGCTATAGAGGTCCTGTCCTAGGAATAAGCTCTAGAGCAGACTTCAAGCTGCACTCTGCCAAGGAAGTGTGCCTGGCGGGGTCCAGGTGAGCCACAGTGCTCTGCCCCTGACAACACCCACTTTCTTTGGGAGCAGCAAGGGCTTTCAAGTTAGCCAGGAAGTTCCTGCCTTTGGTTGCCCCTCCCTGCCTGCCCCCGGCAGTGACCCTCTCCAAGGCCCCTGGGGTTACCTGTGGAAGAGGCAGGGCTGCTTCCCAAACATCACCACCACGTCACTGCCTGCATTCAGGTTGGTGCCTGTGATGGTCACTTGGGTGCCCCCAGACATGGGTCCCCTGCTGGGCTTCAGATCTGAGAGCGTCAGGGTCTGTGCAGGAAAGGACAAGCCTGAGGCATGATGTCTAGGAAGGCAGAGGTGGCACTGGGGTGCTCCTTGCCCAAGCTGCCTTCTGGAAATTTCAGTCAAGGTGGCAGGGTGAATAAGCAATGTCTGGGACCCTAGGAGTTTGCATCACTGTATTTGCAATAGCAATGAAGACGGGTGCCGCGTACTGATTTTGTAAGCCTCAGGCTTTAGGTCTTTATCTATAGCAATATACATGCATATACACACATACATATAACTACCCAATTAACTCTATAACAAAGGTATTATTATCTATTTTACAGATGAGATTCAGAGATGTTAAGTAAGTTTTCCAAGGACAGACAGTCAAAAAATAGAATAATTGAGGTCTGACTCCAGAGCTCTAGTTCCCGACTACCTCTGCCATGCAGTCTCATTGCTTTGGGGAAGGTGACTTGTCCCTTCTGCAGGCTCTCCAGAGAGCTGTCCAAAGCACCCATAGGCCAGAGCCATGGGCTGTGAGAGAGACACAAAGAAGAGTGATTTCTTTCCAGGGCCCGGGCCCCATCAGACTGGGACGTGAAGAGCTGGGCTGGGTGGGGGCAGGGAAGAAGCCCGCAACAGCTGGGGATTTGGAGTTGCAGTTCATTCTTTCATTAGCATTTTAATGGAAAAACTTTCCTCAGTCCCAGGTGAGGAGCCTGTATCTGCATTTAAATGAAGATTGCCCTCTCCCTTCCCCAGCTAGGTCCCCTTAAAGAACTGGCCTCCAAAGAGAGGCTGGCAACCTCCCCTCGGGAAGCCTCCTTTGGTGGCAACTCAGAGAGCGAAGGGGAACCCGAGCAGAGCCTGACACCCACCACCTGGGCTGTGCCCAGGTGTAGGCGCAGGGCACATGGAGAGACACTGGTAGGGCACGGTGACCCAGGCTGCCCGGGTGGAAAGAGCCCTCCTTTCTCAGCTCTGCCTGGATCAAGCTCTGTGGCTCAGGACAAGATTCCACCTCTTTGGTAACAAAATCAGGGGCGGGGGTGTAGTGGGGAGGAAGGGCACTGAGCCAAAATGTGGTTATCCCCAAGGCTGTGACAGTTGTCTGATTCCATAATTGCACCACTACAAAGGGCCTGCTGACCTCCCCAGAGAAGTAAGGAAAAGTGTGGTGGTGGTGGTGCTGCGTGTGTGTGTGTGTGTGTGTGTGTGTGTGTGTGTGTGTGAGAGAGAGAGAGAGAGAGAGAGAGAGCGAGAGCGCGAAAGAGCTGCCCATTTGTGCACATGTCTTAGAGGCAGTGTGGTCCTAGAGGCAGAGCCCAACCCAGCCTGCGTAGGGGTGAGCACTCCCTCCCACCAGCCTGTGGGCGGGTCCTAGAAAGGCAGAGGTGGGCAAACCCCTGGGTTTGCAGTGGTGCTGCTATCAGGGGGTCTCTGGAGGGGGAATTATTCCAGAGATGGGGAGAGGGTGTTATGGAGACATGTTTTAGAGTTGTGAGAAACTATTAATTATTCAAGTCATGCTTCATAAATATTTCACGATGGGTTTGCACGGGAAATCAAATTCCACATTATTTGCCAGCTCTTCACTTGGCTCCTCGGATGGAGGTAGACAGGGAAGGAAAAGTACTGTCTGCAGGAGCCTGGATCTGGGCCCCTTGGCCTTGGCGATTGGGCTCTGGGTAAATAAACCACAGATCAGTGCCTGGATTAATTCTTTCTCCCAACTTTGGCATTGGGAAGGGATACCCCAGGTCCTGAGAAGCACCTCCGAAAAAGGACCCAGTGTGCCCCGGAGGAACCAGAGGAAGGGGTGCCCCAGTGTCCTGGCACTCCAGAAGAAAGAGGCTTTTGTGTGGGATCTAGGAAAAGTGTCCCCCCACCAGCCACCTGGCTGTGCAGAAGGCCGTGGGCTCTGGCTGCTTGGAAATATTATCGAGAGAATTTTGTCGTTTCCATGAGGCAGGACCTATGACCCCAGAGACTCATGGGGACCTCTGACCCTTATTGCCAGGAGGACACATTTGGGGCTCTGTGTGTGGCGGGTGGCTCTTTGGCTGAATCCTTCAGTGTAAACTGGACCAGAGGACAAAGCCAGGGTCACTAGCCCTGGTCCTTCTCCCTCAGAGTCTTCCCCAGTGAGTGGATGTGAAGCAGCAGGTAGTTCCTTGGAGGTGCTCCTCAAACACAAAAGTGACACTAGCCTTGACATCAGCTTTGACCATTGGCTCATGGCTTGTTTGCTTTGGGGCATCTCTCCGTGCTTCTGATCTGACTCTGCTCTGCCTCCTCACCCTCTTCTCTCTTCCTCTGTTCCCATCTCTCTGTGTACATCAGTGTCAACCAAATTCCACAAATGGCAGCCTATTCCCGAAAGTCTTCACGGAAATCCTAGTCTGGTCTCTACAAATGCTACTTTTCTAGGAGAACCTAGTGTGTATGAGAAGAGAAGCCCAGCTGAAGATGACCCATGGAGGGTGGTGCAGGTAGATGCTCTGGCCCCAAAGCGTGGACTGCAAGCACTGTGGCACCCCAGCTCATCTCTGGGTACTCAGAGAAGACAGAGGACGGGGCATGTGTGCTGCTGAAGGGGCAGATGCAGCTTAGTGCAGCCAGGGGAAGGAGACAGAGGGGAAGCGGGTGGGAAGGGTGGAGGCTGGAGATAGGATTGGGCAGGGAGGGTGGGCACACTAGAGAGCCCAGGCAGCATCTCAGGCAGCAGGAGCCTGACTGCATTTTTATGATGCAAATGATTTTTCCATGGAAGTAGAGGGGTTACAATGGGCACAGACCAAATGCGGATTTTAGAGGGCCATGGTGGAAACAAAGAGAATAGGAAAAGTGAGACTCCAGGACTTGGTGATGATGGCTCTCAGGAATTAATGGAAGTTAAGGCACAATCCACTCAGACTGCTGGATTGGGGACAGGCCACAGGCAGACAGGGGAAGAGGGGATGCACTGTACTTAGGGGCTGAAATCCTGGATAGGTCAGGCTTGGGCACAGAGGTTGGAGTTCACAGAGGAACACGGTAGAGGGACCTGTGGCCCAAACAAAATGCAAGGTAGAGGCTCCTCTAGTCCCATCTACTCTGTCATCCGGGGTCACTGCCAAGGACACAGGAGGGAAACCATCTGGCTGGCTGACTGGCTGTGGGAACCCAGCACTTGCTTTGGCCGTGCAGTGGTTTTCTCCTCCTTTCTCTTGGCTGCCAGGTGATCCAGAGCCAGATTCCACGCCCAGTACCTGGCGAGCAGGAATGCCACAAGTGTGTGTGCAGTAACAGTCGGTGACATCTAAAGGCAGGTTGGTTTCCCAAGAACAGAGTGGGGGAGGGGCATCTGACCTGCATTTCCCTGAGGTTCATCCTACTAGGTTCAAGTATTTTGCTGCAGCTGATCTCACCCACCTTGGAGACTGTGGCTCTACTGCGAGAGGGGCTGTGCTGGGTGTTAGTTATCACCACCACCCCACAGTCAGGGCCATCAAATTACATTATAGCATTCAACATAAGTAAAGAAATATTTATCAAAAATCTGGTGAGGAGTACTATGCAAAGTCTGCTGAAGGGAGAAAAAGAACCCAAAAGAAAGAGGAAAGAAAGAAAGAAAGGAAGGAAGAAAGGAGGGAAGGGAAGGAGGAGGAAGGGGGAAGAATTTCCCATGACAATTTTCAGGGCATTTGATGCCCACGCATAAAATCCATTGCCTAAGGCCTCCAGCTTTCAAGAGCAGCTCAGAACCCTGAGGAAACAATACCATCATAGAGTCATTCAACTGAGAAGTCAGTTTTGGATGTGTGCGGCAGGGAATGTGCTGTCTCCACCATCCCCACAGTCGCAAGGCCAAGAGATTCTGAAGGTTCTGTCCTCCAGAATAATTTGACAGGACTGTTCAGGCTGGCTGGAAGTCAAGACCTGGCAGGATGGGGTGATCTGCAGAGAGGTCATGGAGGAGGAAAAGGGTGGTGGATGGGAGGTGAGGTAATGGGGGAAACGGTGGTATATATCGGTAAAATGTGGGCCCATGAGACGCAGGACAAGCAAAGGAAGCATTAAAGACAGCCGGCTGATGATGAGTGAGTGGATGGAAAGAGAGAAGGCGATGGGCCGGGAGGATGGGCATGAGTGTACAGGGAAAGGCAAGGGTTTGGCAATGATAGTAGTAATTATAGATAACATAGGAAATGATACTAGGAAAAATTTCCAAAGTACACTTCATGTAATTTTCATATCTTGTTATACGTTCTATTATTGTCTCCATTTTATAAATAAAGAAAATGAAGCACAAAAAAATTAAGTAACTTGCAAAAGTCCAGCTGGTTAGTAAGTGGTGGAACCCAGGTAACAAATTCCAGGAGTCTTTAGGCGTAGACCATGCACTCACTGGTACTACCCCTCCACTTAGCCATGTGAGCCACAGGGAATCAAGGGCTAGAACATCTTACCTGGAGCCATAAAACCAGGCACAGCTGGATTTGAGTCTGGATCTTGCAGATGTCAAAGTCTTTCTTCTCAACACAGGACAGAACTCTCAGGATAGGAAGGGCACGGGCTTGTAGGCCTGCAGTAACAGGTCCTAGCTGCAGGACCTAGCAGTAATAGTCATGAGGTTTGTTGTGCTCAGTACTCACCATGAAGTAGTAGAGCTGCGAGGAGCGAGCCATGAACTCTGGCCGACACACAGCCACACAGATCTCCACAAAGCCCGCATGCTGACTGGGCTTGGCCTCCCCCATTTCACACACAATCCTGCAGGAAGAGAGAGAGATCCGTGAGTCCAGGGTCCCAGCTGTGACTAGGACCCTGGGCCCCACAGCACCTCCCACATCCTCTTGCTATGCAATACATTCTCAAGAATGGCAGTGGAGGAGGTAGTAAAAGATACCTCTTATTATGGTTTAAATATGAAGTGTCCCCCAACAACTTCTGTATCGAAGATCTTGATCCCTAATATAGCAACGTTCAAGGATGGGGCCTAGACAGGTGATTGGGTTAACCTTATCCAGGTGATTGGTGTTAACCTTATCAATGGGTTAATCTTTGCCATGGGCCTAACCCAATGGAGCCAGTTGACCATGGACTGAAACCTCTGAAACTATAAGTCAAAATAAACTGCTTCTCCTTTGAGTTGTGTATATCAGGTCTACTGTCCCAGCAACAAGAAATTGACTATTAGCCTTCTGATTTTTTCCAGCAGTGTCTTCCCAGGTGCTATGAAAAGGGAAAATTTTGAGGGAGACTAGAAGAGGTCTGAGTCTCCTGACCCCAGACATTTGGTCCCTAGTTCATGATTGTCCACGCAATTATTAGTGAGAGTGGAGGGAAGGTTTTAGCCAATCATCTTAGGAAATAGAGCTGGCAGAGAGACAGTGTGCCCTATCCAAGGGCTGACAGCCTTCAGACCCAGAACATGGAGCTGATCTAAAGTTCTGAGGTCCTCACTTGGAAACTCCTTGCTCCCAGTTCTTGGGCTACCTCAGTGACATATTTTCTGTTCGAAGCAGCCCAGCTTCTAGGCTGGGCAAAGAAATATTTATGTACGTATATGTGGGGAGATGTTTGGGATACATAGTGCTGCAGATTTGCACATATATGAATATATAGAAAAGAACATATAGGATAAATTATAATAATATAATATTTTACAAATGAAGAAACTGGGGCACAGAAACATTAAACAACTTGCCCACATATGTATACAGCCCATCTTCCATGTCCATGGGATCTACATCTGTATTGAGCCAACCATGGATCAAAAACTACATCAGTACTGAATATGTGTAGGCTCTTTTCCCTGTCATTATTCCCTAAACAATACACTACAATAATTATTTACATAATATTCCCATTGTATTTAGTGTTATAAATAATAGAAATGGCTTAAAGTATAGGATGTGTGCATGTTGTATACAAGTACTGTGTTACTTTATGGAAGGGATGTGAGCATTCTTAGACTTTAGTATCCATTGGGGGTTTTGAAACTAATTCCCCCAGGATACTGAGAGACAACTATATTAGTGTATACACACACACACACACACACACACACACACATGCTTTATATGCACACACATGTCCAAATCACATACTGATATACATATATAAAGATAATATGTCCAATGTTCTATAACTACATAGCATGGACTTTCCTTCATATATATGATATATATATATAGTATATATATATATATGGTTTTTGCTGTGACTGCATGATCATTTATGCAACCACCTTCCTATTGGTGGACATTTAATTATCCTGATTTTTTTTCCTCCTTCAATTGCTCCTACAAAATGAACCAAATTAGGGGCTGGGGATTTAGCTCAGCGGCAAAGCGCCTGCGTGGCAAGTGCAGGGTCATGAGTTCGGTTCCCGGTACCGGAAAAAACTAAAAAAAAAAAAAACAAAAAAAATGAACCAAATTATACCAACATCCTTAAGCTATGGATATTTATTAGAATCTAATTCTAAGGTGGGAACTTGCTGGGTTGAGTGGCTTGTGTATTGATTGATAGATAGAGCCAAATAATGCTCCTGAAAGCCTGCCCCAAATTTGCACTTCTCTCAATGTTCCACTGTTTGGGCCAACGCTTAATATTAGCAAGACTTTGAAAGTTTTTCCAATAGTCTAGGTAAAAACATCTCATTTTAATTTTCATTTCTCTTGTTACTAGTGAGGCTGCACATGTTTGTGTGCATGTGTTTTGCTCTGTAGCTTCTCCTTCAACTTTTCTGTTGAAGCCCTCTCTATTTTTCTGGTGGATTGTCTTTATGCAGGATCTTCTGAACCAGGAGTATTAACTTTTGTCTGTTATAAATATCACAATTATTTTCTGCCAGTGTGTCATCTCTTTCAACTTTGTTTTCGATATCTTTTACCACATGAAAGGTTAAAAAAATGTGTGGTTAAATTGGTTGTTTTACTTTACAGTATCTACCTTTTGTGTTTCTCTTAGAAAGAATTTCTGAAGAGAAGTTCTGCAATATATATATATATATTTCTGCCCAGATAACACAATTAGTGCATGTTTCATGAAAAACGTATAGAAAGGACATAAAAGCAGTGGTCATACACAACCTGCAAAGGGAGCATCCAGAGATTTCCTTTGTCAACATTTTGGTTTATGTTTCCAATCTTGTTTTTTCTTTTACAGAATTAATTAGAAATTCTGTATTCTGCTTGGTAATCTATGGTTTTGCTTCAAACACCTTCAATATATGCCTGGTCATGATTCTTTGCTAATATCAGATTTAGTGGCTTTGTAATTTACTGTCTACTGTACAGATGGTCCCCAACTTACGATCGTGTGATTTATAGTATTTCCACTCTACAGTAATGTGAAAGTGATACCCCTTCCCTAGGACTTCCATAGAAGTTCACTGAGAATTGTGAGCTTTGATCTTTTCCTGGGCTCACAATGTGTCCTATGATACTCTGTTGTGGTGCTTGACAGTGGCAATGATACACAGATTCAGAGAGCTACCATCATGCAGGAAATAGCTGAACCTCTATTGTGCATTGTATTGCTAAACTGGGATGATTGGTGCATTAGGTGTGTTAAATGCGTTTTGAATTTATTATATTTTCAATTTATAATGGGCTTATCAGCAAACATCCCATTGTAAGTTATGGAACAGTAAACTATTGCACTGACAAATTTCCTATATTTAGACATACAAATTACTTATGAATTTTTATTATAAATAAAGCTGAAATACGCATTCTTGCAAATAAACATTTGTGCAATCTGGTTATTTAAGGAACAATTTAGAAGTGTGGTGGCTAGACTAAAGACTTTTGATCTATACTTCCAAATATCTTCTAGAAAGTTTGTCCCAATTTATCCTCATCATGATTTAATGAATCTGTAACTTCCCATGCCTCTTGTCTACCCTGGGTACTTATTTCTAAAATTTGCTGTTGTTTCAATTTGCATGTTTGTGACTGTTGGCCCTTTGTACATCTTTTGTATACTGTACATTTGTGCTCTTTTCCCATTTTGTGACATTTTTCTTTTATTTATAAGGTCTTTTAATTTGTTAAGGAAAGTATCTACTAACTGTGATAGGGTCTGATCATATTCCTGATTTATCACTTACAATTTTATTTGCCTACAGTGATTTTTGATGTGTAAATTTTATGTACTCAAATTCCCTAATCTTTTCCTTTATAATGTCCTTTTTGCAGTTATAATACCTTCTTCCTGAAATCAAATAAATTCTCACCTGGTTTTTTTCTAATCCTTTTACAGTTTCATTTTTTATCCTTAACTCTTTAATCCATCTGGAATTTATTTTGGTGTCTAACGTGAAATAAGGATCTGATATTGTACTTTCTCCAGGATGTTAACCAGCACTATTTCTTGAATGGTCTTGTCTTTCTTTGCTGATTTGAAATGTCACCTCCCTCATATACTAAGTTTTTATACATCTGTGAGTTGAGACTGAGACGTAGCAGAACTGAATGCACAGTTCTCCGGCAGGCTTTGATTTTGCTTTATCTCACCTCTACCCCAGGACCCAAGTAGGTAGCACCATTTTTTCTTCTCTCCCTGTGATCACCCTTCCCCTCTGTACTTTTCCAGTGTGGCAGCTGGGGGTGTGGCAAGTTGTGGAGCGGGGGGTACTTCCAACCCTCTAAAATGTCAGGGGCATCCTCTTTTCCCACAGTGCAGATCTGAGACTCTGTTGTTGACAAGGATATTCCTTATATAGGTTGAACATCTCCAAATCCAAACTCTGAAAGGCTCTAATCTCTGTTTTTTGTGTCAACTTGATATCACAAGTGAAACATTCCACACCAAGAAACTTAATTTCATGCACAAGATTATTAAAACAATTGTATCAAATTGTTGCCAGGCCATGTATATAAGGTATACATGAAACATGAACAAATGAATGTCATGTGTAGACTTGGGATCCATCACGAGGACATCTCCTTATATGTAGGCAAATATTTGAAATTCTGAAACACCCGTGGTCCCAAGCATTTGGACTAAAGGACACTCACATCATACCAAATTCTCCCCACCACCTTTACCCTTTTCCACATTTCAGGTGGCCTCCACTTACTGTTCTGCAGGGATATAGCCATCCACCAAAGGACTGCACTCCACACCGGCCACCTTGACATGAGAGGCGATGTCCCGGAATTCCAGGCCCAGGTTCTCTCCCCGGATGGTCACCTTGGTGCCCCCTTCCCGGGGGCCTGTCACTGGAATTATCTGCAGGGAGGAGGAGAAGAAATCGTAGAGGCTCAGATGTACCTTTGCTCATCTGTGATGGGACCAAGAGCCTGTCCATTCTTCTTCCAGTTGTGCTAATCCTTTGAGTGGTTCCAAGTTCATAGCACCCACTGTCTGGGGCTATTAATGGGCTATGGCCTTGGGTAAAGTAGTCCATCTGTGTACGGTCTTAGAAGCTGTGTTCAAAATCTCTGGTGTACCTTCCAATCTCACAGAAGAAGAGAGGATGCAATGAAATATACCTGCAATATTACTGGGTAACTAGCAGGAAATTGGGATTAAATTCTTTTGGCATTGGCCAATGTTAGATCTACTTTTAAGGAAAAAAAAATCATCTTATCAACCCACCCAGCATCATCCTGGGAAGCTTTTCAGATCCTTCCTGAAGGTCACTTTCCATAACCAGATGTTTTCATTTTCCACTGAAACTCCAAGTCACCTTCTTTTTCTACTATGGTTTTTTTTTTTTTTTTTTTCTGGTAACAGGAATCGAACTCACGACGTTGCACTTCCCAGGCAGGAGCTGTGCCGCTGAGCTAAATCCCCAGCCCCATTCTTTTTCTACTATGTTTGATGACAAATATTATTTATGTCTGCTTCCTCATCTTTCCTACTTCCAGCCTCACCTCTTCAGACGCTGAGCCACTGAGGGCTGGGACCAGGTCTCTTTGCTCCTGTGGTCTTGTCAGGGCAACATCGTATTCACATCATGAGTTGTAACAGTATGGAAAACCACACCTTTCTGAGCATCTTTCTGGACTTCTAGGAGCACTGATCACACACTTTGTATTCATTGCTTGGTTTCCCCTGGGGATAGGTTTAATTTAGACTTTACCCTGGCACACCGATGTCTGGCTTTTCCTGCTAAGATACCACCATTGTGCTAAAACTCATGATGGGAAAGTTAGGACTCAACAGCCATGGGGAGCTTTGAGGGATGGCTATGGATGGTCAACAAGATCCCATCGTGACCTTTACACTTCACCCACCCGAAGCTGGTGCCTCTGCACCTGCACCTGGATCCTGACTCATGTCCAGGGGGATCGGAATGGCAGGAGCCTCCAGCCCTTTTCAGCATGTGCTACTGTCCTACCCAGCAAGGGTCACAATTGCAGTTCCATCCTGGGTTAGGCTGAAAGTTAGGGAAGTGAAGGCACTAGATTTGGCTGCCCCTGAGCAGCAGCTTTCCTCTGGGAACTGTTCACCTACAACAGGCCAGCCACCTTTGGCCACATGTGCGCATGTATGTTTGCAAATGGATGTGCACATGGGTGTGAGACTTTGTACTCTTGTGTTCCCACTGTAGCGGAAAAACAGCTTCCTTGGAAGCACAGGCCTATATCGCATGTGGGAGGCAGGCAGCAGTAAAGAAGGCAGGGAGAAGGTGTCTGGGTTTGTCCCCAGTGCCCGCCCAGACAGTGAGTCCCCAAGGTGCCCCTGGCACCTGGCAGCTGTGTCTACATCAAATTCCAGCTCTGGCTTGTCATCCTATAAAAGAAATTTTATCTCTGGCCCAGTCCAGGTTCCCTGGAGGGCCGATGCAAGGATGGAGGTGGTAAATAGCCTCCACTGCAGGGAGATCTGTTTAATTTGTTGCCTCCTTCCTGTGATTTTCTTGGGCCCTGGCCAAGAAGAAAGCAAGTCACTCTGACTACTGTGCCCAGCACACCACGAGCTGCCATGTGCTGTATCCCCAGGGCTGGCTTCTCATTAATGGTGTGGGGGCAGCAGTTCCACAGAGGATGTACAGGGTGGACTGGGGCTGGGAAGGAGAGAAGGGGACCAGGGGCAGCAGGAGGGGCACTCACCTTGTCATCTTGCTGCAGTTCTGTAGATTAAACATGCCAGTGTTTGCCCCCAGTGCCCTGTTTGGCTCCTCTGCATGCAGAGGACTGAACAGGGCACACTGGACCTCATCGTGTCTAGATAACCAAGAATGTGGACAGTAAAAGGGCTGAGGTGGGGGGCATATTTTAAGGGCTGCCTGGTGGGGCCTCTTTACAAGGTGAAGCTATTTACCCACAAAAGTGAAGACCCTTTTGCCTGTAACACAACCCTGGTGTGTGCACAATTTGTGAGTGGGTATGTAAAGTCCTACCGCTGCAGTGGAGAACAGTAACCCCGGACTCAGGAGACTTGGGAGCGGGGCCACGTTCTTTACATGCTGGTCAGGAGATATACAATGCTAAGCATTGGTCTCTTTATATGGGAAAGGGTAATAATAGCCCTAATCTCAGTCAGTGTGTTGGATTAAATGTGTTCTCCCCACAGCACATTTGTGGAGATCCTAACTAACACTAGTAGGGTCTTTACAGAGGCAATGGAGTTTAATCGGATTCAGTAGTGTAGGCTTTAGTCCAATATCACCGTGTCCTCATATAAAGGGGCACATGGGACACAGAGGATCGTGTGTAGCGGGAAGAAATGAGGCGACATTCAGGAAGAAGAGGGTCACCTAGAAGCCCAGCAGTGAAGCTGGACAAGCTCCTTCCTGATGATGCTCAGAAGGAATAAACCCCACCAACATCTGGTCTTGGATTTCTATCTCCAAAACTGTGAAAAATTAGAGATTTATTGATTAAGCCACGTAGGTTGTGGTACTTTGCTACAGCAACTCTAGGACCCTAACATAAGAGGGCTACTGTGAAGACTGGTGAGAGACATAAAGGCACCGTGTAAACTCTAAGGCACTGCACATGTACACAGCCTAGGACTGTGACTGCCACTGGGAGACTATTGGATAATGCACGCATTTACAGGTACCAGTTTGCTCTCATCATTTACAGAAGGAGTCTGAGCTACTTTCCTCCTCTTCTTTTGCCTCTCCCTCAACTGGCTCATTCATAACCAGCAACCACAATGGCAAAGAGGTACCGAGCACCTGCCACACACTTCCTCCTGTGCCAGGTGTGAAACACGGCCCCACTGCTGAGGAGTATGTAGAGAGACACATGCACTTCTTTTCCTTACTTTAAGAGGGGAGCAAGGAGCTCCAGCTACAGTGGAAAGGGATATCTTAGCTGTTCTGCCAGAGTGCAGTGGGGAGGTGAAGATCATGAGCTACTTAAACGAACCCCAGGGGCAGTGATTTCATTGGCTTAGGCATCTTTGGTCATGATTTTAATGTTCATTAATGAGGAGGAGGCATGGTAAATCAGCAATATGCACATACAGTCCACTCTCCTCTCATCCTTGTAACTCTCCCATACAGGTGAGGACGGTGAGGCATGGAGACAGCAATGAATTAGCCCGGGGTGCCCCCAGTGAGCTAGTGCAACCTGGACTGAGAGCTTTCTCTGTGTCCAGCATACCTGCATGTTTAGCCTTGCCTTGACCCCTCTTAATCTCGTACCCCTATGTGCAAATCCATTTCTGCTCCTATAGCTTAGGTCTTGGTCTGAGTGAATCCTGAGGGCTTTCCCTGTGACCTTCACCCTATCCCCTGCACTGGGCTCTGCACTCTGGGCCCTTTATGAAGCCTCTGCCACTGCTAGAGCTTCAACCTTGTCATAGACACATTTGGAGACTGTATCCTTTCAACATAGCTCATGCGGCTTACCTCCGTGATTCGGGGATTTGTGCACTTGCTATTGGCACCCGACAGCTCCAGCCACCGACTCTCATGGGCAGGACAGTGCTGGCGCAAGGTGCACTGGCCTGGGTTCTGGCACCAGCCACACTCAAAGTCTGGGTCAGCTTTGAGACACAGCCCACAGCTCTCACGCATGGCCCCACACTTGTAGAGGTAAACTGCAGCAGGCAAAGGCAAAAGATGCTTTGAGATGAGGTGGGCCAGAAGGGGCCAGCGAGAAGGACCAGGAGTGCATCCCTAAGGCAGCTTTGCCCCTTAGCCATTCTGATGCAGAGAAAATAGAAAAGGAACCCCAGGACTGAGGAGAGAGCCACACAGAGAAGCAAGTCATGGGTCTCCATTCTCAGCAACTCTCCCCAGCAAGTCCCTTGTTCTGCTCCCCTCCTGCAAGCCACCAGCCAGGGGCCCATATCCAGGAAGTGACGGGGAAGTATGCATGGTGGAGAGGCTGGAGGGAGGGACTCAGAGCAGGAGGGCGATATCAAGGGTTAGCAAGTAGGGGTGCCCACCCTCAATCCCTCCCCCTGCCTATCCCACCATGCCCACCCATCCACACCTTTATTCTGAGCAGGGTTGTCGATGTTAAAGTGCCCATTCCACACGACTGTCAGCTCCACAGGTAGGTTGTTGATCTCCATCCCTTCATAAGAATACTGCAGCCAGGTGGGGAGCAGAGAAGGAAGCTGGTCACAGAGAATTCTGAAGTCTGGATGTTCAGCCTCAGGTACTCAAAAACACATGGGGTTAAGGACTGGCTAAGATCTTATGGTGTGCATGTGTGGTGTGTGCACTGCACTACACACACATACATGTATATATCTGGTGGAGGTGGGTGAGGTGGGGCCTGGATCCCTAGTGCACCTGTGTGAAGGCACACCTGTGGGGAGACCAGTTCAAGAGCAGTTTGGAGAGAGTGAGGAGCCACTGTTCATCACTGTGGATCCTTAGGAGGTGGCTGCAGACAGGTGGCCTGTTTCTGCCCAGCTGGGTTTTCCCTAGGAAGCCTAACCGAGGAGCCCTCCTCCTCCCAGGGAAGCTTGCCATGAGGCACTGCCAGGCCTACATTTACACCAGGGAACTTTCTACTCCCCAGCGGGGAGAGTGGGTACAGATGGTAAGAATGAAGGAGCTACAGCCTTTAGGGGGACATGAGGCTGGAGATTAAAGTACAGAAGACCAAGGGAGTGCTCACAGGAGCAGTGTGAAATCCTGCACGGTGAAGTTCTAAAGGCACTCACTGGCTCAAAGCTAGGCACACCCTAGCTTCCTCTTGTGCTGCTGTCCCCAAGTATGCAGGCTGCCTCTGGGCCTGCACAGGGTTCCTCATCCCACCCCACCCTCCCAGCCTCACCTATCCCACCTGGGCAGGTCCTGGCTAAGACATGGGGGTGGAGGCTGAGGAGAAGGAGCAGGTGCAGGGGGCAGAGCCCCAGCGTGGCAGCCTCTGTTCTGCCTGTGACAGCAGATGCTTCTCAATGCTCAAGGAAAGGAGGTAAGCAGAGGGAATGCAGACCCTGCCCTGGGCAGCATTTTCAATCCCTACCTGGTGATTTTCTCATTATTCCACCAGACTTTGCCCCCACAGGAGGTAGGACAGAGGAATGGAATTGAGACAGATTTTCTGTACAGAAGCAGCTGAGATCTGGGAATTTGTTGAAAGGGGACTTGGTTTGAAATTGTGTTTACAAAACCAATGAACTCTTCTAATGCAGCTAAAGTTTGGAGGAGCTGGGCTGTGAGGATGTTGGTGGCCAAGTGGGAGGTGACTGATGCTTTTCCTTCTTCAAGAGGCCACAGCATCTTCCCAAGGGGAACAGGGGTGCAATCCAGGCATTGGGAATGTCTGCCTAGGGAAACTCTCAGGGTCCAGGATCTATGCCTTTCGCTATGGGCAGGAATAGGTCTGTAGCCCATTGGTAGACACTTCTAAAGGGTATGATACAATCTTCAATCCAACAAATCTCCCTGACTCCCTGAGTCACCAAATAAACTCTAGTGTAAACATGTCATGATGTTGTTCCAAATGACATGTTCAGGTTTCTTCGGTTTCTACCCTAGTGTTCAAATTTTAACTCCCTGCACCCATATTCCCAGGCTGGGGAGCCATGTTTGGTGTTTTTCCCATGATAGGGGTGGTTTGCAAGCCACCATCCACACCCTCAAGGAATCCCTCTCCTGACTGATACCGCCTGGGTCCAATGAATATAGCCAAATCCCCTGTCCTTGCAGAAAAAACATCAGAGACATTGATCATCTCACGACCCAGGACAGTAGTCATCCTTTACCAGGATATTTTCCAAAACTCCAAATACATACCCAAAACTCTAGATAGTGCCAAACCCTGTATATGCTTTCTTTTTTCCTGTATGTACATATCTATGACAAAGTTTAATTCATCTATTAGACACAATGAGAGATTAAAAATAATAACTAATGAAACAGAACAACTATAACAGCATATCATAACAAATATTGTGAATGTGGTCTCTGTCTGTTTCTCAATAATATAACTGATAACTTGACTATCAGTCAACCAGTGACTAACAGGCAGGTAACATGTGTAGTGCGGAAGCACCAAACCTGAGGGATGATTCACACCCTAGTAAGATGGAAAGAAACAACTGGAGATTCTAGCATGCTACATAAAAAGGGGTGCAATTCAAAAGTTATGAACTTTTTATTTCTGGAATTTTCTATGTAAGATCTGTAGACTGTGGCTGAGCACAGGTGACTGAAACCCTGAGAAGGGAAACTGAATAAGGGGAGACTCCTCCCCATATCCTCAGAGGTTAAGACTCTGCGCTGGGCCAGGCTGCAGCATCCCAGTCTGTCCTTGGTTTTCTCACAGACTTCTGCCACTGTGACCACTTAGAGCAGACTAAAGACCCCTTCATCAGAAGCAGGATGGAGGTGCAGATTCCAGGGCCCACTCCAGACCTGCTGAATTTGACTTTCTGGAGATGGGGAACATTGCAAAAGAGCTTCTCTGTGGTTCTGGCGTAGACTAAAATTTGAGGGCCCCCACAGTGTGCAAGAAGCAGGGCCAGCCCGGTGGAGGGAGAGGCGAGTAGGAGCAGGTGACCTCTCTAAGGTGAGAGAGAGTCAGGTCTCTCTTGCAGGCTCCCTTCCCATCTTCTTTCCTTGGCTGGGCTCCACCTCTTCCCACTTTCCCCATCTGTCCCCACCCCAAGGCTCCAGTGGGAAGGGGTGGCCAGGGCCTTAGGCTTCCAGCTAGAGCACTCTGGAAAGGGCTGTCTGCTCTGCTTCAGAATGAGCACCATCTGGTCACCTGGAGGCAGAGCTGGGAGCCATGGCGCTCAGCCTTTAGAGGCTGTTAGTGGTAAGTCAGGATGGGAGGCCAGCTTCTTTCCCTCCGGCTGGTTATATCCAGTGCCCAAAGTGGAAGTAGCAGCTGCTGACTGGGCACCAGTGAGCCGAAGATCAATAGAACCTTCAGGGCCCTCTCAGGAAGGTCTTGAGATTCCCCAGAGATGGAAGCAAGAAATTCTGCCTGTGTGAGTATGTGTGTGCACAAATGTGTTTACACATATGCTGATCTGAAGATCAGTTAGTACACATACTATCTGTATGTCCATAAATGCACATGTATACATACACACACACACACACACACACACACACACACACACACAGCCACAAAGTGATCCTGTAGTGGCCAGATGCTTGAACATAAGCAAAATGATCCAAGCCTCAGGTTTCCATTTGTTAAGTGGGAATTAAGAACCAGTGTATATCTCCCTTAGGATGGTAAGGATTTAGGATAATGTATACAATGCCCTGAGCTCTGTGCTTGTCACATAGTCTAAGCTCTCCAGTATTGCTGTGTATTTTAATCTATGTGTATACACCTGGGGATGCTCTGCAAAATTTTATTTGTGCTGCTGGTGTTTATGTTTATGTGGAACAATCATAGCAGCCATGTACGGAGTGTTTATGTGCCAGACATTTGGTACATATGGGGATGTGTGCTGCATATGAGAAACTCATGTGTTGTGGTGTGCGTGCCTGCATGCATGTGCTCATGTGCTTTTTCCTTTTGAAGAAAATTGAAAATAGAAAAGACTTTAAAAGTCAAATATGCTGGGCATGGTGCTTTTTTTCTCACCCCAGCTCCTGAGACCACAGTGATGAAATGTTGTAGAAACCATTAACCCCAGATGCTCCCCACTACCTCCTTGGTCTCCAGGGAAGCCACTGGCAATGGGGAAGCCCCTTCTCCCAGGTGGTGGTGACCTGTCCCCTGCATGGGCATGGCTGGAACGCTGTGCCTCTTCTGAGGAGCTTGGGCCACCAGATTCCCATCCCCCAGGCCTCCCCCACCTCTGCCCCACTTAGCATTTATATAGCTCTCTGTAATCAGCCAGCAGTTAATCTGCGTGAAGCTTGGCCTGTGCTGGATGCTTACAGGCTCCTGGAGGCCAGGAGGTTAAGTATCTCAATCAAGGCCCAGCACACCACTGCCTGGCTAATGGATGACTACCCATCACCTCAGGAAAGTGTGACCTTCTGACTTTCCTCCTTCTAAAGCAGAGAAGATCTCTGCAAAACTGAGACAATCTTGCCTCCAGGCAGTCCCTTTCTTGAGCTCTGACATGCTGTGCTGGAAATTTCTGCCACATGGACAATAGGTCTAAGAAACAAGACACCACCGTGTGCTGTGTCTACCTCTAGGGTTTTCTGCTCTTAGTTGTGCATCAGGGACAATTTCTGTGCCCAGATCCTTCCCCTCCTCTGTTCTGCACACTGTAAAGAGTCTGGGTAAAACGTGGGCCAGCCTGAGGCCGTGGAGCTGGGCAAGGGGTACCAGGCCCACACAACCAGCACTCCAGCCTGCAGATGCCCTTTGCGGCCCTCTGCTCGCGTGACTGCAGTGTCTGAGAGGAGGTTGTGGGCTCTATTATTAGCAGCACTTGACATTTTCCTGGAGCCTTGGTCTAAAGTAGGTCATGCATCCCCACGGTGGCTCCCCCTCTGTGGCTGGGCTGCCTCTTCTCCTCCCACTGTCCCAGGGGCTGTAGTCATTGGCCCAGGGGTTGTCCCTAAATAGTGGGGCCAGAAGGATTCCCCCTGCCCATCCTGCCTCGTGCCATGTTCACTCTTGCCTCTGTGTCCCTTTTTTCTCTGCTTTCCTCTGAGGCCTCTGTGACCAACCTCTGCTGCCATCATAAGCCCAGGGGTTTCGCTGTTAGATCCACACTCCTCCTCCAACTCCAGATTGCTCATGGATTTAGAAAACAAAACAATCTGTTCCACACAATCCTCTGATGCTGATCAGAGCCCGCTCTCAGGGATAACACCAAAGCTGGGAATACAGCACTCTGCAGCCGGTTTTTGCCCAACCTTGAATTAGGTGGCGAGCTAGGAAACTGTTCAAACTCTGAATTTGCACCTGACTTGCTGTGTGATCTGGGGATGGGTACTTGCCCTCTGCACCTCCCTCTGTCGACAACACCTAGAAGACACTGTCTGATGGTACCTAGGTACCTAGTGTCTGATGGTACCTGACGGTACCTAGTGTTCTATAACTAAGGGGGAAAGGGCTTGCCTCTGCTTCAAGAATATTTTTTAAGAAATTCACTTGGCAGCAAGTGGCATCCTGGCAGAGGCTAGTGTTACACTGGGATCCTACTTACCGCAAAGAAAAGGCAGGGTCCTGGGAAAAGTGAGAGCTGGGCCCTCTTGTGAGACCCCAGTGGGTCCCAGTGGGGAGGGGGGGCTCATTTTGGCACAGCCCTTCTGTTGTCTCAGTGCCTCAGACTTAAAATGGAGAGAAAGAAACTTTCTCATTACTGGGGGTAAAAATGTCACTCAGGTGAAGTTGGCGGAGGTATTTTGGGAGCCTTAACCTAGATCCCAGTACTGGTTAGAGCTATAGAGTGGCTCCCAGCTATGGAGGCCGGAGTGCAGGGGGACACCCCTCCCCTAGCTCTCAGGGAAGACGAAGGGAGGCCCTAAGCTTGGACTACGGGTACTACCCTCGCTGATAGAGCCTTGGGCTCCAGACCTACAGGACAATGCTGTGCCCAGCACTCCTGGAAGCAGATCTGGAAGTGCCTGAGCTTGGGCACTCAGCGGCATGAAGGCCTGGGCCAAAAGCTAGAGGCAGAAGCACGAGTCGTGTCCTGGCATATCTGGTCTCCAGATGTCAACTTCCCAGTGAGGAACCTGGTGACCTGCAGAGTTCTGAAATCCCCAGAATTCAATATTGGATAGGCAGATGTCAATACCGTTCCATCTTTTTTCCATAGGTGCTGACTGGGCGCCATCCCTATGGTCCCCTGGGGATACCACAGAGGAGGAGGCAGCACTTGCCTGCCTGGCGTTGCTGAGGTCCCCTTTGTGCACTGCTCCTCAGGAGGCTCTGCTGTCAACCCCATGTCCAGGGAGTCCCCAGTGACAGCTGGGAGCTCAGTGTGTCAGGTGGCTCTCAGCCTAAGGAATCCCTGGGACACTATAATGCACAGCCTCCAATTCCACAGTAAGTAATGGTGGCAGGTCTCAACCAGAAATTTGGAAGCTGAGTTAGTCTCCAGGGCACCAAGGGAATTCTGACCCAGGGGCTGATGTGGCTAACCATACTGGTGTGCTCTGTCTGTTTAATCAAATCTGCCTGAGCATGGGGCCTTCATGGTGTTTGTGACATTGGTGGCCCTCGCTGGGTACTGAGGCCACAGACTTCCCTCCAGATGCCCCTATATCCTGCACAGCATCTCCCAGGAAACAAGGTCTGAAATCTTTTCTCCTGGTCTGAAATCTCCACCTGCATCCACAGAGTCAAATGTGGGGTCCAGGCTTTCTGTCTCCACCAGAATCTTCTTGTTTAGGGGAGAATTACTTGAGCCAAACTCTTGGGCCTAGTCTGCTTGGCCTCAGGATTTATGAGGAAACAGGAGGTGTTTAATATTCCCCTTGCTTGCAGATTAAATCTAGAACACTGCAGAAACCTGAAAAACAGCCTGGTTCTAAGGCGGGGGAGATACACATGAGATGCTATGGGGACACATCTGGGATTTGGGAGGTTGGAAGATTAGGGGCCAGTTCAGTGTCTATAATGCTGGGTGAATTTGAGCAAGCATGTAGACCTCTTGAGCTCCATTTTCCCCCTCAAACACTTTCTGTGGGAAAGGGAGGGTATTCCTATGAAGTCTTTCCCTGGGGACTGTCCCGGTCCCACATCACGCCCCCAAACACAGTCACTTCATGTAAGTACTCAGGAGCGACTAGGGGTTGAATGACAGGTGGCATGACATAAGAGGGCAGCTCAAACCCAGCCAGCCCTGCCATTAGCTATGTGACCTTGAGCAGGCCTCTCACCTCTGCAAAGAGAAGGTTACCCCAAAGCAAATGGAGCCTTAGCTGTAGTTCCTGCCCTTGTTTTCAGGATACCTGCTAAGGTTTGTCTGCAAATCTTATTGTGCACTTACTATATTTGAATCTTAAAAAGGTCTCCAGATTCTGTAGGTCTGAGCCCCCAGACCTGTATTTGCGCCAGCTTGTGAGCCTCTATCTTCCCTTTGCATGGTGGAGAACTATAAGGTTTCTCACAGCTTGGAAAGGTTGTGAGTCCAGAAGCCCAGTGCTGGTCTTTGAGCATCTGGGTGCATAGAAGTGACCCAGAAAGAGAGCGAGAGAGATCAGAGCACTGGCTGGAAAATACTGGGTGAGGAGGCACAAGGCTGCAGGACACAGAGTTGGGGACAGGTGTGCTTCTTAGGGACTGGGTAGGCAGTAGGTAGGTCACTCATGGTGAAGCTTGGACTCACTGTGGATTTGTAAGCACTGGGCAGGGCTCGAGCTTATCTAAGTGGCCCCTACCTGGCCAGCTCCCTCTTGTTCACTTTCAATGCTTCCTTTAGCTGCCACCTGTTTTGTCCTGAGGCTGTGCTACGGACACAGACTCTGTGGAGGTTTGAGAGCCACGGGGCCTTTACAGGCTCAAATGCACTGCTTAGGGCTGACACAGGGAATGCAAGGCCCAGGGCTTCTAGAGGGACTCGCAGGGAAGAGGACAGACAGGAATCCTCCTGGATCTGGCATCCTGAAAAAACATCTGCCCACATACAGGGCTCTGGGACCCCATGGCTGGCCCAACATCCCCTCTTACCCTGTCTTGTCAGATTACCCTTTCACAATATGGCTACAGGTAGAGTGAGGTACTTGGTGCCCTCTTTGGTGGCCTCATAGCCAGCCTGCTGCTGGGATCAAGGGGAAGGGGTTGGGGTACACAAGCATGGTAAGGGAAGCAGGCAACTGAGCAGATTAGTGGGTGCTGGGGGACCTGAACAGTGGAGGGGACTGGCTCTAGGAGGCAATGGTGGCACAGCAGGTGACTCACAGAGGTGTTCTGGCACTGCACACTGGAGCTGTTGAAGCGTAGGGCAGGCACTCGCTGCTCACTGCCCTGGATGTTCAGGATGCATTCGTAGCCACGCTGCCCTGACTGCGGCTGGGGGAGGTTCTTGGCCTTCAGTGTGATGGGCTTGATCACCTCCACAGGCACCAGGATCTTGTCCACTCGCAGCAGCTGGGGGCAGTCCTGGGGACAGAGGGCATGGCTCAGACTGGGCAGTTGGGAAGCCATGGGGGCAGGCTGCAGACATTCCCTAGACGTTGCCCTGCTGCCCAGATGCAGCCTCACATGGCCATCTGATTCCCGCCCTGACACAGAAGGGAGTGTGGGTGATAAACCCCAGGTCCTCATGTCAGTCTTGAGGCTGCTTCTCGTAGAGGCTGTCCCCGGCCTCTTCAGCTTCATTTTAGTATCTCCCCTCTGCTCCAGATGCTCCACACTTCTATCGTTCCCTTCCCTACCACTCCTTCCCTGCAGAGACTGACCCTGCTGCTTGGGCCTACTGCCCCACAGGGACTGATGGCCTCTCTGCCTGCCAAGCTCCAGGCCGCAGGAGTTGGGACAGATGGGCCATGTGAGGAGATCCACAGGGAGCAAAGCCTGGATGTGACTTGGCCTCTGGAGCGGGAGTCTGGGCCACGGCTGGAGGGTCCACGAGGGCCTCCTGTATATGCGCTGAGCCTGGCATTTGTGAATGCTCTGGAAGAGGCTCCAGTAGCCTTTTTAATGCAAAAATTTCTGGCTGAGCTCTGAGGATGGCCCAATCCTGAGGAAATACCCCTTGGAGCAGAAAAACACTGGATTGCTCCTAGATGCCAGCAGTGGGGATACTTAGCTCTGGAGCTGTGTGGGACCCAGAGAGCCTTTGGGTTTGGAGGAAGTGAATCACAGGTCCCCCTTTTCCTGAGATAGTTAGCTCTGTCCAGGGAGGGCTGGGGAAGAATGGGGTCAGAGGAAAGAGGGCCATGGTAGGACGGAGCTGGAGTGTTGCTGGTAGGAGAGAGTCAGTGCTCCTGGCCTGATAGGTGTGGGCAGGAGGGGGGTCTCTGTGACATATGCAGGGTCTAGCATGGGCCCTCCATCCCCTAGGCTCCGCCCTCCATGGCACTGTCCGGGGCATGCCAGGACCGAAGGATTCTGGGCAGGCTGACCATCAGAAGTACGGCACCTATATCCATGCTTTGTCAGGGCCCACTGCTAACCCTCAGGAGAGGTTGCTCACCCCTAACCCAGCACTGGTCCCCAGCAGAGTGAAACAGAAAGGAAAGCATGGGCAGATGCAGACTGGAGGGGTCCCAGGCAATCAGGCCAGTGCCAACTGTCCCTGTTGGGTCCCAAGGGCTGCCATGTCACCAAGAGCTGCTTTGTGACAAGACTGGACTGGGAACAGAAGGCCAAGTTCTGACAGTCTGTGAAGCCCTGACCACACCCCCAGTCTAAGACTCAGCTTTACTAGCTGTCAGTCAGATGGGACTCCACGGCCCTGTCCATCCCAACCAGTCATGATTCCATAACTTGCGGTGGTCATCTCTCTGTCCTTCCCGGTCACCCCAAACAAACAGATGAGGGAAAGAGGGGCAAGGGACATGGAAACAGGATAGGCAGAGAAGTAGGAAGCTATGAAGGAAGCGAGGAGAAGGGGAGGGAACCAGAGAGGTGAGACCACAGGGCACAGGTGGATAGTAATGGGTCTCGTTTGGGGAGATCCCTGGAACCATCACACCAGCCCCTCCACTCTTCCCCTCCAAGGGGAGCATCGGATCCAGCAATTTCACTCCTCAGATTGCCCCCAAAAAACTGAAAGCAGGAATTTGAGCACATACTGAACATCATTCCCAATAGCATATTCACAGTAGCTAAAGGTGGAAGCCACCCACAGCTCCATGGATGGACAAATGAATAAACAAAATATGTTATATCCATACACCGGAATATTACCTAGCCTTTAAAAAGAAAGAAATTCTGACACATACAATGTACCACATGAATAAACACTGAGGAGATTATATTAAATGCATTAAGCCAGTCACAAAAAAAAGCATATACATCATACTGTGTGACAATGCCACATGAGACACCTGGAACAGTCAGACTCACACAGAAAAGAGACTGGTCGTGTCTGAAAGGAGGGGAATTTTCAAGTCGGTGAGGGATGGAGTTTTAGTTGGGAGTGTTGGGGATGGTTGTACAACATTGTGAAGGTACTTAATACCACTGAACTGTACCTTAAAGCTGGTTAAAAGGGAAAATTTTTATCATATATGTATTTTACCACAATTAAAAATAGACACTAAACAAAGAGGAGCAGCAGGGACACAGCAGAGGGAGCAGGGGCCACTAACACACACACACACACACACACACACACACACACACACACACACACACGCACACACCCAGCAGCAGCAGCAGCATTGGCCTTGACCTTGCATGTCAAAGCTCTAAGACAAGCAGGTCTCTGGAGACCGGGAGTTATCGCATGGTAAGACTAGTGGCTCCATCCTGTGCCCCCTTGGCTGCTATCTGAACTCCATGTTCCACCAAGATAGAGATGTGGGACATGTAGATGAGAAGGGGATAATGTGAAATGGGTGAAATTTTGGGCTGAAAAGGGAGGTGTGTGATGCTGGAGAACTGGGGACAGCCAATCTGTGAGAGGAGGAAAGCTGTTAGCCAAAAGGCCCAGGTTCATAGTGGTGACCCATCCCTCCCTCACCCAAGCTCCAGGCAGTCTTGCCCCCAGGCATCCAGGTCTATAGTGGCAGGTGGAGTGAGACTCAGGAAGCTCTGGTACCTCTCACCTTCACCTCCTACACAAACGTGGTACTACCCATGATCATGTGTTAAAGGTACCTGGAATCCGAGAGTCCTCTGACCAACCTAATGGACCCCTTCTACTTTGCAAAGGAGAAACTGAGAGAGGCAGAGGAAAAACTAATGGCTCAGAGTCCACAGATGAGGTGGCAGCTGAACAACTCAGATACCAATAACTTTTCTCCTCTTCATGAAAGAGCAGGTTCCCACTAGTGGGCAGAAATATTTCAGAACAGAGTGGTTGGTCAGTAGGGATCTCTGAGTCCAGAGCTGTGAAACCCTCCTGAGCTGGGCTGGAACCCTGCCTGGAGGCTGGACTCTTCCTGTCCAGGATTAGGGCAGGAGCAGAAGCCCCTCTCAGTTATTCCCTGTTTGATGCTGAGGCTTGTGAGGAGTTCTCTAATGAGTCCTGATTAGCAGTGGCCTCATAAAGGCCTAGTTTGCATATAAAAGGGTTGACGGCTCTGCAAGTAAGTTCATTAATAATAATTGGAGAGGCCCAGGGCTGGGCTGGGCACATTTTCCTCTAGTGGTACTGCTGATTGACCTCAGTGCCCCTCCTAATTGAAATGTAAAATGGCAATTTTCCCCTAGGCAACAAGGCATGAAGGGACCATTTCCACCACCCTGCCCCTTCTTCCCACCCCATCATCCCAGATTCTGACCTGCCTCCTACTGAGAGTCTAAATGCAAAACCACCTACAGGTCTGAAACTCATGGGAAATTTCAGAGAAACATCCATGCTTCTCCACGATTCCTGCCTAAGGGCCTGATTCATGGTCAGGGACTTAGTCCTTCCTGATCTAGGTCCTCAATATTTGAGTTTTCTAAACTAGAGAGATACTGGCTGGAGAATTATGCAACTATGAAAGTAAGTCTATCTTCCTCCTTGTTATGGTTGAATCTGGAACATGCCCCAAAGGCTAACGTACTGTTGAATGTTTCTCAGTGTGACAATGGTCCCCAGTGTGACAATGTTCAGATATGGGGCTTTTGGGAAATGATTGGATCATGAGGGTTCTGGCCTCATTAATGGATTAATCCACTGATAGATTCATGGTTTAATGAGTTAATTGGGAGATGGTGGGAACATTAGAAGATGGGAACTACTTGGAGGAAGTAGGTCATTAGGGGTGTGCCCTGGAAGGGTATATCTGGACCTCCTCCTCCTCCTTGATTACTGGCTACCTTGGAATGAGTGACTTTCCTCTGCCATGCCATTCTGTTATGATATTTCTGACTCTTCACAGGCCTGAAAGCAACGGAACCAGTAGACAATTTACTGAAGGCCCTGAAACCATGAACCAATATAAACTTTTCCTGCTTTAAATTATTATTCTCAGGTATTTTTGTCACGGCAATGGAAAGCTGACTAGCACATTACTACTTGATTCACAATTTTGACAAGTGCTCTTAATCATTATTAACTGTAAGAAAAGATTAAAAGTCCTCCCTCAAAAGTGCATTAGGGGCATCCCATGAATGAACATACACAAGTGTCTGGCACTGAGTGAGCAAGGATTCAGCAAATGTCTGTTCTTTTCTCATCTTTCATCCAGCTCAGGCTGCATTTCTGTCCCTCATCTGCTCTCTGGTCCTACTTCAAGTGCAAAGGACCCATCTTCCCTGTTCCTGTCTCTATTTCTTTTCCATAATGATTCCATCAGTTCTCACTGTCAACTTATTCCAACTTTCTAGGATTTGTATCTTATATGGAGCCTGACTAATTTCAGCACTTCCAAGTGGCCAAACACAATGAGGGCAGGTATGGAGTTTCCCATTCTTTCTACTGTCCCCTAGTGACAGTCCCCTCTTCTAGAAGGTGACATCCTGAAGCTGCATGCTCCATGTGCTCTGGAATAGGAGACCTACCAGCAGCCAGCCTAAGGCATATCCCTCAAACTGTGTGGATCTCTTCACTCATAAAATGAAGAGGTTGGTTTGGATTCAATGATGTTTATGGTACAGGGATACTGTGACATAATAAGGAATCTATATCTATCTATCTATCTATCTATCTATCTATCTATCTATCTATCTATCTTTTTTCTTTGTCCCTGGTTCCTGAGACAGAACTCCTAAAACCCTTGGAATTTCTTGAGTGGTTGAGGTGAGAGGAGCATTTTTTGCTGTTTATGAGCTCATTTCAGTCACATTTGAGTTGAAGATAAGGTGGCTCTTGAAGGATGGGGCTGTTTGCTAGAGAAACTAACTTTGTGATTAGATGGTTGAAGTTTTCAGTGCCCCTTCCTAGCCTCTGGGGAAGAGAGAGGGGCTGGAGATTGAAATCAGTCAAATGTACAATACTTTAATCAAAATGTACAATACTTTAATCAATTGGAGTTATGATAAGAACCTCCGTAAAAACCTAA